AGAAGGAAGGACACGTGATGGCATTGTTCTGATGCAACAGAGTCCGCGGGAGTTCACGTCCTTCGCAAGACTCAAACTGTAGCCTCCGTGCACCCGAAGTCGACTACATCTGCACGAGTGTCCTACAACATCTCACATTCTCAGCAGAATTAGTGAAAACTCGTTTCTCTCTTTCTCATCGTGTCCATGTACGATTTATCCACTAGCAAGTGTGAGCCAGTAGTGAACACAAGTCGCAACTTGGGTCGAAAGTGTACCATTAGAACAAAGATACGTCCTCACAAGGTCATGGTCACTACTGCCTGTTCTTAAAGAAAGTAGATCGTGCAGCTACTGACGGCAGCTACAGTAGTGGAGGCATCGACGTTACCAGGGGCTTCTGTGGATATCAATCATCATAACCCACAATATCTGTGTGCCTGTGATTCCGATATCTCCAACTGCAAACATCCATTGCCAAGACTATACGAGTAAGTCTCTCTTTGTGCGGTGAATTTTCCTTTTCAACCACACAGACACATGGTTGACTGGAAGTAAATGACCGATATTGTCCTTCTGGTGCATGTTCGAGAGCATAACAAGTTGTCAAGTTCTTCGCGTTTTGCGTTTATCACCCATTTTCGCAACACTTGCCCTACTCTGTTTTCAGTATCTGCACGCTGACATTCTGCCTGGTACTAGTATTTAGCAACTTCATTCTGGAGATAACTACGCTGGACACCAGTGTCACCAGTCATTGGTGCTTATAGTACCATGTTCTGTGGCGACCTTGAATGCATAGAGGTTCGATAGTCCCCACCCAAGACACGCACGAGAGTGCGTCAAGTTTTGGTTTTTACTTGGAGCCATGGGCGTATGCTTCTTTGACCTGAAGCCACAAGGTATGTTTAAATACTGCTTGTCCAAGACTCACCTGATATCTCATCACCCGCATGCTTGTTGAACTAACTTACCTGACTGGCAATCATACGACCTCGTGTACTTAGTATCTTCTTTCATTCGGTGCTTTTGACTGGATCTCATTCTTAGCCGACGTGTTGCAGACACTATTGCGGCCAAGTTTCTAACCAAATATTGAAAGATGACATGAAAATGATATAAGAGGAGAGCAGAACCAAGCGTACTCTCAGCTGATATCGTAACTGACAAAATTACTAGTGCCAGAATGAAGACCGACGGTTCGCGAAACGCTCGATATGACGTTGGTATGGACCGCACAAACGTCTGCCATACTGAATACTGAAACTTGGCTGAGACGTTTTTCGTATCAGATGTTCTATGGGCTCAGTGTTCTATGCGCTCAGTGTTCTATGCGCTCAGGCAGAATGCACTTTGTACCGAGTTAGGGAGTTCTCTGGCTTTATATTTGATTCACAATACCTACTTTTCAGTAAAGGGTGACCTGTTTAACGGACAAACCAGAAGTTCCTCTTTCAGAAAAATGCACCACAGAACCGATCGTATTCTCAGCTGACGTCCTGTACCGGAATGAGGAATGAAGAAGGCTCACAAAACGTAATGGAAATCGGCCAGTTATTCAGCCGCTTCATTCTGTAGATGACTTCGCAGGACAGAAGTCATTGGTGCTTACATGTATAGTACATGTACATGTATGATGTATGGTGTACATGTAGCTTGTTCTGTGGCGACCTTGAGTGCATAGACTGATAGAGGTCCGATAGTCACCACGCAAGACACGTAGTCTACTAGACGGAGACGGAGAGTGCCGCCAAGGTTTTGCTTCTATTTCGGAGCCGTGGACGTATACGTTGACGCGAAGCCACCAGGTATGTTTAAACATCGCCGTATTGTTGCATAGAGGAATGCTTGTCCGAGGCTCACCTGATATGTCATCGCCCGCATGCTTGTTGAACTTACCTGCCTTGCAATCATACGACCTCGTTTATCTTCTTTCATTCAGTGCTTCGGACTGGATCTTAGCCGACGTATTACACACGCTATGCCACGAAATGATATTTGGTTCGGTTTGGTATTATTTCAATTCGCACATTAAATGGGAACTAGTAGGCCCAATGATATAAAGGCGAATGGACAAGCCGCGTTTTAAAAGACATACATGTACGTGTACTACTTTTTGTAGTTTGAGCACTCTGGCGCCAGAGCGACGAGCCATCCTTTAAAATGTCTGTGGTGCCTCCTTTGCACCATGGCTGGTAGTTCGGCCTACTTAGCTCGTAGCTGTACTGATGAGGCGTGTATGGCCGAAACAACTTGCTATCTACAGCATTGGGTAAATGAAAAGATAGTGGCCCATGCACACGGGTCATGGGCAAAGCGCTGAAACGACATACATGTACATTTACATGCAACCTCTCGCACAGTTGCTTCAAAGTACATTATGTCATGTATGCTGTAGATGCAGCGGTCACTACAACTAATAAAGCTGGAAACTTGGAGCTCCGCAGCTCTTCGCCCTCCACGTTTGTATCATTATTGTATTGTACACACAATCATGTGCAGTCAGCTTTGCGTACATGTATAACGACACTCGACGGAGCATTAGAAAAATCATGGTCCTTATTCGCGAAGTGTCCTTTCTCCCGAAGTCTCATTTATATGCATTACAGTTAGATGGGACTTTGCTCTGGGCATGGAATTCTGTCGTTATGCGCGAATTGTCGTTATATCCACAGTCGTTATTGGCGAAATCGACTGTATATCGCAGTTAGAGGCTCACTTAGAGCACTCTGACTACTTGGATGTTTGAGCCGATTTAAAAATGCTCCTTCAACGACCTTGACTCTTGACCCTTGACCCTTGTTGCAAGAGGTGCACCGGACGTCATCGTGGGTGACTTCGCGCCAGTCGAGCCGTCGGTACCAGCATGTGAATGGTACGAGTCAATACGGCCCAGAACAGTCCGCAGTGGCGTGCCATTTCCCGTCGACCACCCAGGGCGATCGCTCTCCGCCGCCAACTAACTTTAATGGCACATGTGGCCGGTTGTTCCGTCGAAGCGGCGACCTGAAACGCCTACAGTCATTCTGTCGCGGACTGGAGAAATGAAAATTTGCTATCATTGCTAGTTTTTGCTACGCTTAGCTATTGGGAAATGTCAAGGTTAAGGCATGTGTGTCACTGTGTGTGTGTGTGTGTGTGCGCGCGCGCGCGCGCGCGCGCGCGCGCGCGGGATTCACTGACCAGAAAAAGCCACTTCATACACACAATCATGTACACTGTACATGTACATGTACATGTAGATGTATGGTGTAGACCAGGCTGAATAGTGACGGTCAATTCTTCAGCCTTGCTGTTGAATGGTGCAATGCCAGCACAAGTTAGTTGCTATGGCTTCTGCTGTAGCATCGCTATCACCGCCTCCTGCGATGGGCGTCAAAGGTCAAAGGTGTACGCGTGTGTGTGTGCGCATTGGTTCTCGGTGTCAGCGGATTCTACATGTACATGTACATGATTCATTCAGTCTGGAAGTACAGTCAATCACGTGCCTCCGTGGTTGCAGAGCGTCTTACTTGCGGACGCCCATCTTTTCTCGGCCGATGTCGCCTTTTGTCCATGTAACCGCCTTCGTTATTCATAATTATGTTGGTCTAGAAGTACTAGCACTAGTAGTACATGTAGCAGTACTGTTTCCGAACACGGTGGTCCTCCACTGAGTCCGCCTTGTCATGTTGTCAACCAAAAAGTACAATCATGTACATGTACATGTACTTCCCTCCTGGGCGTTTGTTGCTTATCGTGTTTTTGTTTGTATTCTTTTTGTTTTGTCCATTTTCTGTAACTTTTTTTGGGAACACAGCCCCATGCTGTGTGATCAGTCGTGTTGAGTAAAAAACACTTTCCAGAAACAAAGCTGTCAAATCCACCAGAACGACCGTCATGACTATTACATCTATCACGCTCTTCCCATCATGCCGCCTGGCGCCTGTCCCTCGACCATGTCGACCCTCGTACCCTCGCTGATCTCATCCGTGATCTCATCAATCATCTGAGGTCTCGATGAATCGGTTGTTGTACCGTACCGTTGTTTGCAGCTGGAGCGACCAGCTCACTACTAGTACACCCTGTACTACTAGCTAACGTCAGTATACCATGCCATGGCATGGTATACTGACTACTGTCGTACTGACTGTACCGGTAGAGTCGCTGATGTCACTGATGATAATGAGTGCAACACTAGCGTGCAGTGATGTACACAATGACTGTCATGCTGTACAGACAGTGTAGATCTACAATCATGTAGATCTACATCTACATGATCTACAGCTAAAAAAACTGCAGTCTACTGCCTAGTCATGATACATTATGCGAGCTTATGCGATATGACTGCACTTTACCATTTACCATGGTTACATGAGTCATGCATGACTGTACTTCATGACATGAGTTATCCGGTACTACTGACTACTGACTGTACAATCATGTCCTAGTCTAGTAGTAGACCCTCTACATACACTAGTACTACTACAGTCGTCCCTCTCTAATCCGGCACTTTATAATCCAGCACCCTCGATAAACCAGCACAATTTTCAGTAGCCAAAATGTCCTCTTCATGCACATTGCAGCAGTAAATCAGATTTGTTAATCCAGCACCCTCCCTAATCCAGCAGATTTTCGTGGCACAAATGGTGCCGGATTATAGAGGGACCACTGTACTAGTACTAGTACACTAGTACTGGTCACTACAGTCTACAGTGCTTTATCAAATCGGGACAGGCAGTAGATCTACACACACACACACACACACTGACACAGTACACAGATCTGCAGAGTGCCAGTGGCAGTCACTATTCACCATAATCTTGTGATGTATGTGGCCACGTTACGTGGCGCGAAGACTTTTTCAACTACATACAATCATAGTAACTTACTTCATAAGTATGTACACTACAAGCACAGATACAAGTAACAACAGTTACTGTACAGTACACTCCTCTGGATCGGATTAGCGGTGTACATGTAGATCTTCGTGTGTGACTCATGCAGTCTTCCATGTTTTCAGTCCAGCGAAAGTTAGTTGAAACTCGAACTTCAAATGTCTTCAAATGCTGAAATTTTATCAGCTTTCTTTCAGTGCAGTGCTGGGTGCTGAGTCTACCTGGTCGGAACACTGAATGGTGGCTGTCTCGGTGCTGCAGCGGAGCAACTACCGCCACTCTTTACCATAATAAAATCAGCAGTTGAACCTTGGCTTCCTTGCCAGCAGTATTGCAGTGGTTTGGTAGCAGTCGGAGCGTGGCTAATAAAATCGATGACTTGCTGGCGCATGGCGGACGGAGGCGAGCAGCAGTCACCCTAGCCATGTGAAGCGCTCAGCTGGAACAGGTGAGGCTAGGCAAGGAAACCGAGAATGTCTTGTTTCTTGGTAGCGTCCTGTGTCCGCTACGCAGGACCGGACTTGTCTTTCTAGTCACGCCGGCTTGCTACGAGCTTTAGGCGATACGGCAGCTTTGTTCGGAGCAGGCGAAAACCTCGTCTCCGCCTTGCGGCGTAGGCTAATGTGGCGCTGGGGAGTGTACTCCCCGCTGTTCATTGATAAACTGCTGATACAAGTGTTTGATTGCGAGTGGAAATGTGCTGTGTTGTCGCTGTACCTCGTGAAACAGTCCTTAGTTTCGTCTTGTCTGGCGTGTGCTTACATGACGTCCATGTCTGTTTTTTTTTGTGTGGGTCGAAAGCTGTTGCTTTTTCTTTTTTTTTTACTGAGTACCTACAAACGAAGTAATTTTCCACTTGAACTAAGTATTTTAGTTTACTACTTAGTGAGCGAGGTGCAGCCAAGATGGCGTTTTGCATTTTCGTAACTGTATCGTGCCTCGGTCGAGAACCAGACCCTATCATTTTCGTCTGTTCGCGTGTTGTAAATACTAGAAGGCTGCAAGGGGCTCTCCGCTTTCCACGGGGTGTGCCAGAAGTATCATCGACGGGAAGGAAGACCTTCGTGCAGAGTGCGGGCCATGTCCAACCAAGCATTAGTTGATGTAGGCAGAGCTCGGCGCTGCCCGATCTGCACACCGTGTGCTGCTGACCGCTGTGTGGACTAGGATAAACAAATACGGCGCCTATCGGCAGTATGAAAGAGTAGAAAGACAAAGGACCCCTGTGGCTTCTAACAGTATCAGTTTTAACTTCTAACCTTTTGCCAGTTTTGGTGCTTGCAGTGCACACTAGTAAACTAATCAACAGCAACGAGTTACATACAGTGAAGTGTGTGAACTATGACATAGCCATAGGCAGACAAACACAACCGTGTGATGAACCAACGACGTGTCCGCCAACGCACACAAAGACCCTGGCCTTGGTTTGTTGCCTTGCATGATGTCTTGGTATGCAGTCACATACAGTCGACGGATATAACGAACACCATTGTGAAGGATAATTTGTTCTTTGCAGCGGTGACGTTCTTTATGAACACAATACACTCACACCATGCCAACAACACGTCATGACTTGCAACTGGCCCATAACAGTATGATTACATTATTTTCACTCAGATTACTGTATAGCAGGAAATTTTCGGATGGAAATTATTTTCGGACGATTTTTTGTACTAAATTTAATTTCGTACTAAAATTTGTTCCTGTGAAGTTACATATGTACACCGTGCACTATACATGCGTACCGCATGCGAACACGTGCATTTAGCATGCAGCACTGTACGGAAATGAAATCCGTGCGAAAGGTCGAAGTTCGGCTTTGTCCGAAAATTTCCTGCTGTACAGTATATACGGCCCTACAAGATAAAGGTTTGTTATTAACGAAAACCGTTTGTTATAAAGGATCAAATCTGTATGCGCTCAAACAGGGACATTGACACTGGTTCGCTATATCACGGAATTTGCTCTAAAACGAGTTTGCTATACTGCAATTACTAAATATACAAAATTTTGGCGTTGCAAAATTTCGGCGGCGATTTATTTTCGGCGTGGGTAGAGGGCGTGGTATAGTGCGACACATGCTCTGAAAATTTCATCGGCGTGTTTTGGGTCGGTGCCGAGTATAGCCGAAATTAAATAGCTGCCGAAAATTTGTATATTTACAGTAACTAAGTGGAGTGGAGAGGACTGTACATACAATGTCACATTGTGGAAGATCAAGTGACTCAGTTAGTCACACCTACATGTACTTGTACATGCTTCTAGTACAGACTCAGTGGAAGTGCTCACGCAGCACAGAGTCTGAGGCAAGCCAGCCACAGGCGTATCTGCGGAATTGTACAATGATAGCTGAGCAGAAATCAAGGACTCAGATGGAGGGCCAAAGATTAATTTATGGCAAAGAAAAGAACCAAGGAACTACAAGTTACGCTATAATGTCCACCAATTGGCAGTTAGTTGTAGAACTTCAGTGCCGTCGGCCAGTGTCGTGCAATGTTATCGCAAGAGCTGGTTGTCCAGTAACTGGTTGTGCTGTAGTGGACATTATAACGGGTCCGCAGTACGGAATTTGAGCAAAATGGTAGGGAAAATTGAAGAGGATCGATCAGCTACAGCTATGTATGTAGAAGTTTTACGATTTATCATGTGATGGTACAAGTCACACATGTTTTGCACCAGCAAATTCAGCCACCGACAAGTATGTGAGTGTCAAAAAAGCAGAACACAACTTCACTAGCAATGCACACGGCAGTACAGTAGTAGCACGGAAACACACTGCAAACTGATATGGAAAATCGGAAGTCACAGTATGCAAGACAGATCCAGTTGGTTGGCAGCACTCCTGAAGAGCCAGCAGCACTGTCAGTGTACAGCATCCAATGCAGATTGCATGATCATCATGCCATGGGCCAAGCACCAGGGTGCACGTGCTGAACACCCTTGATTAATTATTAATAGTAGCAGGTTCAGTGATGTGTGCAATCCAGGATGCCGGGATGGCAGAGACCAAACTCGGACAAGCACCCTTCTGCAGTGGGGACTGTCCCCTGGATCCTGGTGCAGGCTTCATGCATGCCTAGCTAGCCTAGTCAGGTGATCTACTAGACTGCCAGCACTGGTACTCAGCTCAAGTGACCTGACACTTGACACAGTTTTCAAACGGTTTACTATACAGTAACCTGGACCCTTACGTCTTTTCCAGCCGGGGCCGTGCAGAGCAGCTGGTGGCCAGATTTGGCGTTCCATACACCGGGCGTTACGCTGGGTGGGTGGGGGATTCACCTTGGCCACCTTCCAGCATGGCCTCGCCTCCCCAAGGAGGACACCATCCTTTCTGGGACCTAACATGCACGACTACTACATGTACGTAACTGCAGTTTTTTATTTATTTATTATTTTTTACTATGTTCACATACCCAGTTCTGCTCAATGAAATCCAGTCACCTCACTCAAGTTTGCGCCTTGCATCATTTCGCATCCCAGTGTTGCGCAGGCCTAGGGCTGCTAAACCTGAGTGATGCGACTGGATTTCTTTGAGCAGCACTGTTGTAGCAGTCGGTGTGAAGCAATTTCGTATAGAGTGCCTTGGGTATAGCATGCATGCCCTTGTCATGTGAACTTGGATGTATAGCATGCATGCCCTTGTCATGTGAACTTGGGTATAGCATGCATGCCCTTGTCATGTGAACTTGCGTATAGCATGCATGCCCTTGTCATGTGAACTTGGATGTATAGGTAATCATTGTACGCACGTGTGTGTGTACGTGTGTGTGTGTGCGTGTACGTGTGTGTGTGTGTGTGTACGTGTGTGTGTGTGCGTGTACGTGTGTGTGTGTGTGTGTGTGTGTGCGTGTGCGTGTGTATTGTAGGATACCTAAGGGATGGCGCAGCAGCAGCCCAACGGTGGTCGGAGACGGCCACAGCAAGCCCAATGCATCGGCTCTAACGCTGCGCCGGATAGGCGTGCACGGTCTGCGTGTCCCACTGCCACCACCAGGAGCACCAGCACTGTACCTACGCGGCAGCCAGCCAATCGGCCCGCCGACCGTCACGCACACCTGATCTGCGTCGCTTCACGGAGCAACGGAGAACGCCAGCTTGAGCGGCTGTATCGGCCTGGGCAATCATCATCACCAGCCATTGTCAGGTCTGGCCAGGTACAGGGCAATTGAACTTGATCCCGATGACAACAGAAACTTCACTTACGTTACATAATATCACCTGGGCCTGGGCCTGGGCCTGGGCCTGGGCCTATTCCTGTTGAAGCCGATACCAGGGCTATGCTTGTAATATTCGAAATAGGCTTGTATTCCAGCCAGGCATTTCTGTGGGTGTCAACACTAAAACCAGGCTTACGTGCCGACAGAGTATCGCTAAATGGCCCAGTATCAGCGAGAATCGACCTTCGGGGGAAAATCATTTTTTTCAGAATAAGTCATTTTCTGCAACGGCAAAAAAACTCTTGCTTCGCGCTCTGCACTTTCAAACAAAAAATAAGTTCATCGCAATAATGAATGCTTTTGATCGTCCTAGTAGGAGAGTTCGCTCACGATGGCCAGCTAGCTGCCGTCCGGCTCTGCCAGAAGTCATTGGATTTCTTAGGCAGGAATCGTCGCGTCTGATAGAGAACGACGACAGTTTCCAGAAGATGTTTTTGTCGACGCGCAATTCCTATTTAGCGACGAGAATTTCAACTTGATTTAGGCGCTCCGCCAAAGGAGCTCTGCTGGAAAAAGTACTTTCTGAAATCTGAAAATCCTTGTAGGGCCCTTCTGAATTCAGTACAGCTCCGCTCAGGAGAAATACTCAACGAGGAGAAACTAGTGAGGCGACGGCAACAGAGGTAGACGAACTGAAATGCCCTGGATCAACTCGAGTCAGGACGAAAGAGCGCTGCCGTTAGTGACATGATCTGAATTTTCCCGGGCTTCCACCCTGGACTCCGTGGTGAACACCAAACCCCTTGGACGGGGCAAGACGCCAAGAGCTGAACATTGATTGATTAGCTACGAACTCTCTGCGCTCAGTGCTAGAATCATGGCGCACTGACGCGCATGCAGCCAGTTCCCACAGAGCTCAAATTTGACAGAGGTGCAGCAGTGATGGACTACCTCTAAATCGTGTATGAGATGAAGTGTGGGGTGTTAGAATGTTGTGTCTGTGTCATATACCCTGTGCGATTCACAGACTGTGACTCCAGGTGTAGTTGTAGCCCCCCTCCATCCTGTTCTGCACTTCTGTGGATTTTCAGCAGACTTGGGATGGCGTTCAAATACTTGGTCCGCGTCAGCGATATTGTCGCTTATCTTTCAGCTTTGTTATTATGTCGCCAATGCTTCCTTGGCAGCCCATTTCATCCCAATTTTGGTTAGCAAGTTAGTTTACTAGTACCTGAAAAGTCTTGCTCGAGTTCGAGGGGATTTCGAGAGCGACAGGTGGGTGATTCTGATTGATACAGCGCCGCATCAAAATAGATTATCTTTTTACGCTGTGCAGGCAAGAGCAGCGCAAGCCACAAGAAAGTAATCGGCTACTCGGAATCAGCTCCATTTTGCTGAACGGCCGAGATCGCTCACCTCAGGAATCGCTCATCAAGCTGAGATCGCAGCTCCCTTACCTCCAGCTCAACGCTCGGAGTATCCAGCGCGTCGTGGAGATTTGCAAGTACTGTACGCGTCGTCGTCGTTCAAAATATAATCTTGCAAAGAACGGCATCTGATTTGAACCACACAGGCTGTCGTGCTGCCCACGTGAAGTCCTATAGAGAAGGCGACCTTCACGATCGACTTCGTTTTAGAAAATAGCCAGGCAGCGGAGAGGAAGAGAGATGAGCTTGCAAAAGCAAGAGAGTCGATCCCGAGCAAAAATATTTGTCGCAAGCGCCGAGAGCAGCGACGACGAGGACCGAAAAAGTAGGAACCCTTCCTTGGACAATAAATTCCTCGCAGCTAGTTGTCATTCTATACCTTACCGTCCATCGTACCAAGTTTTATCACTTCAAGTGCACGCGTTCATGTCCAAAGTCTAAGTTCAAATTGTCGAAAGATAAGCGACAATATTGCTGACGCGGACCAAGTAGTTTTCATTGGTATGCAGTGATGAGGATCAAGGCCATCCATGCTCTATGCCAGAGGTTGCCCAAGAGTTGTTTTACAACAAAAACTGGATGGATGATTTATTACACTGTCTATTTTTTATGTATTTCACTGTAACACATAGTATTCCGATGTGGAAAACACTGTGATAAATTGTTGTATTTCCTGATATGTGCCTATGCTTGTTTGAGAAGCTTCTGGGTCATGAACATTGCTTTGTTCGGTCTAATACTTTGCCATGTGATCACTAGATACCTATAGATGACAACAGCAGAAAAAAGTCATTTTGTGAAAAATCACCTCAAGGTCCATTTTCGCAGATACTGGGCCAAAGTGATGTGCATGGGTTTGGCTCACGGGCTTCTCTTTCCTGTCGGCCTTTGGGGCAGGGCCGGTTTATGCATGCTCGCATATGACATTGCTGGACTGGGTTGCTTCTGGGGTCTGCAAATCGAACCTTTGCGAGTTGCATTATGATCGTGACAACGTGAAACTCGGAGACGCAACACAGCTCCTCCCCCCCCCCCCCTCTCTCTCTCTCTCCCTCACCAACTCTCTCCCCTTCTCTCATAATTATGGTCTTCACCCCAGCTCAGGCATACGGTCCTTGCTGCTTGTGTGGCAGGAAACCGTGTCTGAAAATTGGGACAGTTTTGGCCAGTGAAACTTCACCTCAGGAGTAAAGTAACAACACGTTCAACTGCCATGACTGCTATGACTGGTGTGTGTGTGTGTGTGTGTGTGTGTGTGTGTGTGTGTGTGTGTGTGTGTGTGCACTTCATAGCTGTGTTGTGTAGACCAGGCTGAATAGTGGCGGTCAATTCGTCAGCCTTGCAAGCTGTTGAATGGTGCAGTCCCAGCACAAGCTGCTATCATCGCCTCCGGCGATGGGCATCCAATGGTCCAATGGTGTGTGTGTGTGTGTGTGTGTGTGTGTGTGTGTGTGTGTGTGTGCGCGTGCGTGATGTCGTCAATCCCTGTTCTGCACCTTGTCCTCATCCACTTGAGGTGTGGTGAGCCCGAAAGTGGGATCATTTCCTAGTCCACCCAGAGTTTGGTGATTTCGGGGGTGTTGTTCGTTGGGCAGTTCAGTACCCAGTTGAGTCATCTTGACTAGAATCTCTCTCCTCACTTCGGGGACACTCGCATGGTTATCTATGGCAGTGAGCAAGTACAAGTGTGTACAGTCAACTTTGCGTGTAACGACACTCGGCCGGGCGTCAGAAAAGTGTCCTTATTCGCGAAGTGTCGTAATATCCGCAGTCGTTATTGGCGACGTTGACTGTATGTGCATGTATGTGTATGTGTACCACAGAACTCCGGGGTAGCCGCCGAGGCAACTGAACAGCACGAAACCGTATCAGCATCGGCAGCTCATGCGCACAGCGATTACCCTACCTGGGATGATTTAGCGGAGGTGAAGTCGACCAATTACAGCCAGGCGTGGAATTTTGACCGGCGGCTCCGTGAAGTCGAGACCCGTCTTCAGAAGATTGAGGCGCGTGATCACCACCATGCTGAACCCGATGACGTGTTGCAACCGCCAAGCCTGCCAGGCTTCAGTGGTTACGGGTCAGCAGCCTCTCGGTCTTCAGCATCCACGCCGTCCGGACAAGATGACCTCTCCTGTTCGCTACAGCCCCGCCACTACACAGGTACGGACTGAGTTCTAGTTTTGATGTGTGTGTGTTTTTCAAGTGTTCGGCAGCAAATCATTGTATGATTCGTGTGCATTACCCTTGATAGCCACCCAGTGATATGTGTGTTGATGGGCAACATCATTACAATGCCGAATGCTTTTGCTTACCCTTGTATGCTGTAAAAGCCATTATTCTAACGAGGCGCATACAATAACGATTGCCTAAAATTGACTGGTTTGAACCAACGGTAACGATTCTCACTCATTCTCAACGCTCAATAGCAACAATACGTCGTGTTGATTTCTGCATAAAGATTTCTATTTTAACGACAGATTTCTCCTCGTTAACTCGTTAGATTTAGCACTTCGGTATATATATATATGTGTTGAGTTCGAAACAAGACGGCTGACAACGGGAACAAGTTAGTTGGGGGAACGACATTTATGATACTAGTAGACGACGAGACAAGAGACCAAGACGAACGAAACGACTACATTGAAGAGTGAGAAAAGAGAGAGAGAGATCAAGTCTGAACGGCAAGATAAAGGGCCTGGGTAGCTATGGCAAATATGGGCGCGCAAGTAGCTATCCAGGCCAACGGAGCAAAAGGAGACAAAAGGTGCGTACGCAAGTGCATGCAGGCCAGCTAGAAAAGGTACGGGAGGAGGTACCTAACATATGGCTTTCACAGTACTGCATTTTTACCATGAAATACTAGCTGAGGCGGTTAGTAGTTTGCAAGCCCGAACATTTCTCCCAATTTGAAAAAATCCGCACAAATGCCCTGAAATGATGTGGCACATGTTTCAGACAGGCAAAAATAAAAGCCCGGTGCTCACTTCCGATAATACGGTATTACCCTTAAAATTCTATTGTGCATTATGTGCGGTCGCATACTGGTGAGGAACAATAGTATGTAGGTGATCTGCAAGGTACCTACACTGTGCCGCAGTGACACCTGTCTAAGGTGACCAGCTCCTCAATGGAACTTGGGAATGGGGTCTTTGCATACAGGTGGTCTCCTTGTCCAGGGTTATTTGACTGGATATCACAGGTGGTCTCTCCTTGTCCAGGGTTATTTGACTGGATATCACAGGACTGAGGTGGTCTCTCCTTGTCCAGGGTTATTTGACTGGATATCAGAGGGTCCTAGTTGCAGTGCCAGTGGTATTCTGTATCTGGCGGGTGACCTGATCTGAGTAGTTGCCTTGACAGGTTATACGTGACTGATACTGCACTGGCCTATCAGATAGCCACGACCTTGGAGAGATAGTCTTTTCCAGGCTGTTTGAACAACATCAGAGATCCTTAGCAAAAGTACGATATTATTTAACTTTTACGGTACTCACTCCCAGCCGTGACAAAATACGTTATCGGGTAACGGAAGAACGTTACAGAGCTCAAAATAATGAGCCGACGTTCGTGATGGTAATTCTGCAAAAAATGCAACAACTCGCATTGTTTTGTAACTGGCGGGGGATAAAAAACACGTGCAGATTGAGATCAAATTCGAGATTGCTTCCTCTTGTGACATTTAGCTTTTTTTGGCGAGTTGACAATGTCTGCGTCCTCTGCTTCGTGCCTTTGACCCTCTATCCCATCTGGGAAACAAAGGACCGGTTCCACGGCACTCCTGAGGAAGAAATTCACAGGCCTCTCCCAGACGCGCTGGAGCTGCGGAACAGTCTTCGGTGCTGCGTTTAGGAAAGGTTTTCCAAGGACCTGGGAACAGCGAAAACTCATTTTCGCCGTGCCTTTGCCATTCCAGAGTGAAAGACCTCGCCAGGGTATTCGTTCGGAACGATAGCATACTAATCCCTGGTTCAAAATTTTGAATTTCTCGCACTTGTTTCCACGAAAATTCATATCGCCATGGTTGCCACAACTACTTCGTCTGAGGTGACTCTGAACTATACCGTACATTGTGCTAAGGGAAAAGTCAGCTTGAACGATGCGAAGTGCGGAAAGGTTTGCGTTTACGTTAGCGTTTTTTTTTCAGCTAAGGATATCTTTTCACTGTGATGTACTGATTGACAGTGGAGTGGTATCAGGCGCGTGCGCCGGTGCCCTTCAGGGGGGATTGGGGGGCCTCCCCGGGAAATTTTTCCAAAAATGAAGCTAAATCCTGCATTTTGAGCGAAAATGGGGGGGGGGGGGGGGTTCCGGGCACCCAGGAACCCATACGGGGCACGCGCCTGGGTGTGCACCCATTCTGACTGTGTACGACCAAGCCAGTGATCTAAGCACAGGCGTGTGTGTATGTGTGTGTGTGACGGTGTGTGTGTGTGTGTGTCACGGTGTGTGTGTGTGTGTATGTGTGTGTCACGGTGTGTGTGTGTGTGTGCGTGTGTGTGCGTGTGCGTGTGTGTGTGTGTGTGTGTGCATGCGCATGTGTGTGAACGTGCATGCATGCGTGTGCATGTCCCGATGTGCATTGCATCCCTTTACAGAACCAGTTCGGCCAGATGGGACTCGTGGTCCTCCGCCAAGCATACCTGCCCCGCTACATCTGTCACATTTGGCATCATCATCGGACAATGCACAGCGATCAATATCACCAGGTGAATCACTGCGCCCATCCGCACCACCACCAACAGCCAGCCACACTAGTTCCGAGGCACGTACCGCATTGCCATTAGTAGATTCGCCGGTGACGAATCCAATGTCTTCGGTGTTCAGGGGTCGCAAGAGACACGGTCAAACTGAAAGAATGTCCCCAGCGGAACGCGCTCGCCGTGGAAACACCACCCGTCCGCCGTGGGCAGATGATAGTGCCTCTGCGAGCAGTCCAACGCCGCAAGGAACACCTGTCCCCAATGCTGATCTTGACAGAGCCAGGTTAGTTTGGTTAGTTTGGAACGCGCACACACGAACACACACACACACACACGTTTTTGGTAGGTGCCATATTATCAGGAGTATAAGCAGCACCCAGAATTTTTGTCACGAAATATACAGTCAACTTTGCTTATAACGACACTCGGTGGGGCATCAGAAAAGTGTCCTTATTCGCAAAGTGTCGTTATACCCGAAGTCTCATTATATGTGTCACAGTTGGATGGGACTTTGCTATGGGCATGAAAATTATGTCGTTATTGGCGAATTGTCGTTATATCCGCAGTCGTCATTAGCGAAGTCGACTGTAGACATCTACCCTGTTCATAACCAAGTATAAGCCCCACTGACTTGTTTTTGGGGAGAGGGATTACTGGCGTCTAAAGTGGGACATACACTCTGGAAAATACACGCTACTAGTGCAGTAGGGTCCGGCGGATTCTGCCGGCAGAAAAATTGGCAGAATTCGGTACTTTTTCTGGTAAGAGTTTCATGCATGTTTGGTATGTGGATAAAAAATGGAGCAGAATTCGAGGAATTACCCGTCATAAGGTTTGTATGGTTCCAAATTTCACTGCTTTTCGAGCAGAATCTGCCACCTTTTCGAGCAGAATCCGCCGGTCCCTATAGCGCAGTCAACTTCGCTAATAACGACTGCGGATATAATGACAGTTCGCGAATAATGACGGAGTTTCCATGCCCAGAGCAAAGTCCCCTCTAACTGTAATATATATAGCGAGACTTCGGGTATAAGGACACTTCGCGAATAAGGACACCTTTTCTGATGCCCCGCCGAGTGTCGTTATACGCAAAGTTGACTGTATACGAAATTACGAATGCTTTGAGGTAATGGTAGATCATAGATCTGAGCGTAGGGACGGGAGGTGAGGTGTTAGACATCACTGTCGAAAGCCCTCTTTGTGAGCTAACGTGCATTGGCATTGTTCTGTGACGTGTCGTGTGACACATGCTGCATTGAATTGTCCGTGTGCTCTAGGGATCCAAGGTCGTCCATATGCAGTAGCTCATCAGCAGAGTCGCCTGTGGTGGACTTGCACAGTCGGCACGGCGACCAAGCCCGTGCACCACAATACGAGCACGCACAGGAGGTAGCGCTTGACTCCCACCCTGTAGCGTACGAGGTGGATTGGGACGCACTCTCTAGTGGACGCAGCCGGGTGCAACTGGGCCCACTCCATCCCACTGGCGTGCACACCTGCAGTGTGGATCTGTTCGTGGACAGCGCGACCGGCGATCCCAACCTGAGCGTTTGCGTCATTGCCAATGCGGAAAGCTCCTCTGGTGGTGGCGGCCATGGTGGTAATCATGGCAACTGGATAGGCCGAGCACAGGTAACCGTCAAACTGTGCCACCCGGAAGCCTCCGACCGTATTCTTCCAGTCTCGTTTTCAGTGAAAGTCAACGAGGGTATGGAGGCACGCACGCACCAACAGCTACCACACTGTATTGCAGATACCCACACTGTGCTTTCAGGTGGCTTCGTGAATAACGGCACTCTGCTTGTGGAAGTACAAATTGAGGTTTAGCGGCGGTAATCATCGTTTACGGCACATGTACGCATCATCAGGCAAGCCCGAAAACGCTTGTTTTTTGCACCAGAAGCCGCACATCTGGGATACAATCAATGTGTGGCCACCCTAGCCGTGAAACACCCCGTTGAGATGGCCTATAGCCCGCACATCAGGGATACAATCAATGTGTGGCCACCCTAGCCGTGAAACACCCCGTTAAGATGGCCTATAGCCCGCACATCAGGGATACAATCAATGTGTGGCCACCCTAGCCGTGAAACACCCCGTTAAGATGGCCTATAGCCCGCAGATCAGGGATACAATCAATGTGTGGCCACCCTAGCCGTGGAACACCCCGTTAAGATGGCCTATAGCCCTATGTTCGTGTTCAGCTAGGTGATACATTCACTCGTCTACTGTAGAGCGCTGCCGTACCGGGTAATATCGACACAAACCTGAAAATACTCCCCTGGAACATTGCGTTTTGAGCCTGACTCGAGCTGGTCTCAAGCAGGTAGTGAAAGCCAACTGCCCCGTTTCATGTTCCGGAGCTTGACGAATCTTATAGCCGTGAACGTTATTTTCCGGCCGCGCTGTTGAGACCTTCAGTTACTTTCATAACTATTCCTCTGACCCACCCTCAAATTCCCCCTTCCGATTCATTTTTGCCCTTACTTTGACCACATCGAACCGTGAATTGTTTTGACCATATATGGCACATACTCCAGCAAACCTTTATCTACTGGTCCTTCCTGCTGGCCCCAGTGCATTTAATGATTTTTGAGCACTCGCTTTTTAATTAAAAGACAATTATTTAGTTTCCCTTTGGGCCATGCTAACCTTGCACCTCTAACACATTACATCATACTCTATACAAAGTTTAGCACCGCCGGTCCAGAAATTGTATTACGTGAAGATAGAATAGAGAGCCTGCAGTATATTTTTGAAAGTATATTATTTTTGATGCATTGAAGCCTCCTCTAACCTTTCTTCTTTTCCTGTGGACGCTTCGTCACTGTGTGAACACTATATTGTGTACTGTATTGTATGGAGGATTGGCCACAGGTGCTGAGCCTCGGCATTCTATTCTCTTTGGTTGAATGTAATTTCCCAGCCAAGAAGTACATGTACATGTATTTGTACTGACGTGCCCCCGAAAGTCTGCCTTCTAGGCAGTAACGTTATTCATGAGGTTGTCGGAGGTGAAAGGGGAGATATTTGAACAAAATCGTCACAGTGTCTTGAACCCGATGATGGGCCATCACTCATAATTATAGTCATGTATTCTCTACCACTACGTAAGCCATGGGGCAGGTTTTGTTCAGTACAGTACCCCCCCCCCTCCCCCTAATCTGGGCAGGGCATGGCGGGACCGAACAGTGCCCGGAACTCACAACATACATTCACACACAGTCCTGCTCGATGAACTCCGGTCGGGTCGCTCAAGTTTGTGCCCTGCACCATTAATTTTCACAGCTAGACCAGTGTTGGCGAGTCTAGGGCTTCGCAACGCCCGGTGCGTACTTGAGGGATAAAGACTCGGTGGATTTCATTGGGCAGCACTGTACTACTTAGGGGCCGTCCGTAAATATCGATGTTTTTTAGACACGATATTGGTGCGTCTGGGGGGGGGGGGGGGGGGGGTTTGAGCCATGTGCGTCTTTTCGAGCATCAGAAAAATATCGATGTAAATATCTGAAGTTTCGCCGATCCCTGCACGCGGACGTCTAAATGGCTATACAAGAAATGTGAAACCAGCTTCCGTTCGCGGAGCTAAAACTCGCGACACAAGAACAAAATCAAGAATTGGAAGCTATACGCCCATGGCGAATTTCAAGAGCAAAAGAATGAGCTATTGATTGTGGAAATCGGCCGAACGATGCCTGCAGGAGACCTTTTTCAAGACAAAAAGAGGAAAAAAATGAGCATCCAAAAATATTGATTCCATGATCTAGATGTACATGTGCGTCTTCTGGGGGGGGGGGGGGGGGGGGTCAAGGGAGAGAAGCACCAATATCGTCTCTAAAAAAACATCGATATTTACGGACGGCCCCTTACTGCATGCAAGTAACCAATGTTTATTAGGCACCGGCGGATTATGCCGGCAGAAAAATTGGCAGAATTCAGTACTTTTTCTGGTAAGTTTCATGCATGTTTGGTATGTGGATAAAGAAATGGAGCAGAATGCCCGTCATAAGGTTTGTATGGTTCTGCAAATTTCACTGCTTTTCGAGCAGAATCTGCCACCTTTTCGAGCATAATAGTTTTTGGGGCCGATTTTTTGTTGTTGAAAAGTCATTTTAGTTTTGTAGATGGGTCAGAAAGTGCCCAGTACATGGATGTGCCCGGATAAGGTGGAGTCTGGATAAGGGGAATTTTTACTGTATTTTCTTCTGACATCAAAACACGCTTCCTGTCGGACTGCACAGGTAGGTAGGACATAACGTCGCATTTCCCTCACTGTATCAACACACTCCACAACCCCCCCCCCCCACACACACGCACCCCATCCACACACTTTACCAACACATCATGCATGTGGGAGCACCTAGAATTGTAAACTCACTCGTTTGAGTGACGCAAAACTAAAAGGTCAAGTCTGAATACTTGTAAAAACTTGGCTAAGTTGCCTTTATAGTAGCATAATACAATTCAAAAGTATTGAAAACTATTTTTTGAATCGGAAACCATTGTGAGATGAAATGTGGCCATCCATCCATGATCGGCATGTCAAATTTGGGTCTCGACATAAGCCTGGCATTCTCGGGCAACAGCGTGTATTCATTTTGTACTGACACGGGGAATTCTTCACTCTGGTCACACACACGCAGGACGAAAACGACAGTATGAAACCCATACCGCTGTATCGCATCACAGGCAGCTGTTTCCAGTCCATAAACGGCTACGGAACGTCGGCACGAATCTGTGGTAGAGATCAACGGGGGTAGGGGCAAAGGTAAAAACTAATAGTTACTGGAAAAGCAGAAAGTGTGACGAGTCCAAAGTTTAACGATTTACTTCAAAGTACAAAAAAAGATGTACTTTCAAGTACAAAAGTTTCCAATTATCGGGCACAACATTTTAAAATGACCCTGCCAGCACACAAATGTACTTTCATCTCGGAGGGATAACAAACTAACACTACTTTCTATCTGGGAAGTGTAATGGTGTTAAAATTTCTATCCGGGGAGATGTAGTAGTGCTTCTATCTGAAGTGGGGTAATAGCGCTTGTCGGGGAGGGGGGGGGGAGAATAGTAGCGCTTCTATCCGGGGTGGGGTAATAGTGGTTCTATGGGGGGGGGGGGGCAATAGTACTTCCATCACGCCGGGAGCGGCAAAGCTGTGCACCAAGCACTTTGCATCTACAGCCCATTCAGGAATTATTGAGCTTCAGTACCTTTACTATAAACTAGAAGTGGCCTGAGAATATCTTGACCATGTGTGTCTTTGCACAGTTCGTTTTGTTGGGAGTATGCTTGAACTGATTCGTCGAATATTAGAGTGGCGATGCCTTGGAATCTCAAAAGCATCCGACTGGAATCAGTGTGAAAATTCCAAAGCTCAATCATTTCTGGGTGGCTGCACTGTGAAAAGAGTGCATCCGAAGTGTGTTGCGATATCGTTCGGTAACCACGGAAACTCACCCTGAGCAGCTCACGACACTCGTGTGCCTCTCGCTTGTCCACGGAATGGATGAGCCGGTACAGTGCCATGAGAGTGCAGTCAGCGGGCTCGCACACCGCCTGCCAGTAGCGTAGTACGGAGAGCAAGCCGGTCATGTGGTGCCGCTGCTGGAACGCCCGCAGCGGTGTGCGCCAGTCTCCACCTCCTCCTCCTCCTTTGCCAGCGGCGACACTATCTCCACCAGTCCGGGCAGAGTCCTGAACGATGTGCTTGGCAATGTCCTCTACAGCAAGCCACAACCACCGGTGTCAACATGGGTCAACATAGGAATACAGCGGGTGCTCCAGTTTTCGTGAGTTATTTCTTGGCAATGATCAATAAAACAACATAATCGCATGGGCATGTGTTTCTGCTAAATATGCATTTATCCGTATTGATACACAATGTTCTCGCTATTTGCACGTCTTTCGGACGAGTCAACTAAACACTTACCCGCAAGCACATACATGTACACACACACACACACACACACACACACACACACACACACACACACACACACACACACACACACACACACACACACACACACACACACACACACACACACACACACACACACACACACACACACACACACACACACACACACACACACACACACACACACACACACACACACACACACACACACACACACACACACACACACACACACACACACACACACACACACACACACACACACACACACACACACACACACACACACACACACACACACACACACACACACACACACACACACACACACACACACACACACACACACACACACACACACACACACACACACATAAACACACACACACACACACACCAGACCTCAGACCTCAGACATGCCCATCGCGGAAGCGATGATAGCGAACAGCTATGTTAGACATAGCAACTTGTGCTGGGATTACACCATTCAACAGCTTGCAAGGCTGATGAATTGACCGCCACTATTTTTAGCCTGGTATCCACCACACAGCTGTTTGAAGTGACTTTTCTGGCCAGTGAATCCCTATTTTTCATTTTTCCATTTTTTATATTTTTTTTTACACACACACACACCACACCACATACTTCGGCATACACTGGCTGTTGGTAACCACCCAGGAGAATGAAAGAAAAGTCAGGAAGAGTCTGAGAAAGAGAAGAATGACGTGTGCGACCATAATCGTCAGGAATTGAACCCGCAACCTCTCGATTGGAAATCGACTGCACAATGGGACACACACACACACACACACACACACACACACATACACACACACACACACACACACACACACACACACACACACACACACACACACAGAGGAACCGGGGGGGGGGGGGCATGCATAATTATTATGTTCCCTACCCAGAGTTGGATGGCTTATGATGGCGCGTAGTTTCTTCACAAAGCCGCTGAAATCCTTGACATCATCTAGCTTGACATCCCTGAAACAAAGCAGCAGAAGACTATGGTCAGGAACAGGATATCTCAGGCACTGCAGTGCATTTCAAAATGTAGGCGCCTGGTGATTTTGAAATATTTTAAATTTGGCTGGAGCTTTTTGAGATTTTTTTACGGAATATTGCCCAGGTCCTTCCCCTAATTATTCTCATACATATTTTTAAGCTATCGGATATTAAACAAACACCCAATTTCGAAATATTTATGCACAAAGTGATCACAGATTTTATGTGGCATGGATGCTGGCCTAACGGTTTTTGTGAAGCCACACGTTTATATTTTTGAATTGCACTCTAAACTGTGCAATATATGTACACCACATGCTGGTACACTGTACTGTGATGGCTGTGCTTGTACACTGATTATCTGTCTCCGAGGCTGTAGACCAGATCTGTCTCTGTAGACCAGCTCTGTCTCTGTACATCAGCTGTGTCTCTATAGACCAGCTCTGTCTCTATAGACCAGATCTGTCTCTATAGACCAGCTGTGTCTCTATAGACCAGCTCTGTCTCTGTAGACCAGCTCTGTCTCTATAGACCAGCTCTGTCTCTGTAGACCAGCTCTGTCTCTGTAGACCAGCTCTGTCTCTGTAGACCAGATCTGTCTCTGTAGACCAGATCTGTCTCTGTACATCAGCTGTGTCTCTATAGACCAGCTCTGTCTCTATAGACCAGATCTGTCTCTATAGACCAGATCTGTCTCTATAGACCAGCTCTGTCTCTATAGACCAGATCTGTCTCTATAGACCAGCTCTGTCTCTGTAGACCAGCTCTGTCTCTGTAGACCAGATCTGTCTCTATAGACCAGATCTGTCTGTATAGACCAGCTCTGCCTCTGTAGACCAGATCTGTCTCTATAGACCAGCTCTGTCTCTGTAGACCAGCTGTGTCTCTGTAGACCAGCTGTGTCTCTGTAGACCAGATCTGTCTCTGTAGACCAGCTCTGTCTCTGTAGACCAGCTCTGTCTCTGTAGACCAGATCTGTCTCTATAGACCAGCTCTGTCTCTGTAGACCAGATCTGTCTCTGTAGACCAGCTCTGTCTCTGTAGACCAGCTCTGTCTCTGTAGACCAGATCTGTCTCTATAGACCAGCTCTGTCTCTGTAGACCATATCTGTCTCTATAGACCAGCTGTGTCTCTATAGACCAGCTCTGTCTCTGTAGACCAGCTCTGTCTCTATAGACCAGCTCTGTCTCTGTAGACCAGCTCTGTCTCTGTAGACCAGCTCTGTCTCTGCAGACCAGCTCTGTCTCTGTAGACCAGCTCTGTCTCTATAGACCAGCTCTGTCTCTGTAGACCAGCTCCGTCTCTGTAGACCAGCTCTGTCTCTGCAGACCAGCTCTGTCTCTGTAGACCAGCTCTGTCTCTATAGACCAGCTCTGTTTCTGTAGACCAGCTGTGTCTCTATAGACCAGCTCTGTCTCTATAGACCAGATGTGTCTCTATAGACCAGCTCTGTCTCTATAGACCAGATCTGTCTCTATAGACCAGCTGTGTCTCTATAGACCAGCTCTGTCTCTGTAGACCAGCTCTGTCTCTGTAGACCAGCTCTGTCTCTGTAGACCAGCTCTGTCTCTGTAGACCAGCTCTGTCTCTGCAGACCAGCTCTGTCTCTGTAGACCAGCTCTGTCTCTATAGACCAGCTCTGTCTCTGTAGACCAGCTGTGTCTCTATAGACCAGCTCTGTCTCTATAGACCAGATGTGTCTCTATAGACCAGCTCTGTCTCTATAGACCAGCTCTGTTTCTATAGACCAGCTCTGTTTCTGTAGACCAGCTGTGTCTCTATAGACCAGCTGTGTCTCTATAGACCAGCTGTGTCTCTATAGACCAGCTGTGTCTCTATAGACCAGCTCTGTCTCTGTAGACCAGCTCTGTCTCTATAGACCAGCTCTGTCTCTATAGACCAGCTGTGTCTCTTGCAACAACAGACCAACAGTGAGACCTGTGTTTTGCCGGACCCTGTACCAAGCGAAGGCCTGTATTGACTGAACAATTGTTATGCCGCGAAGTGCTGTGTACCCAACGTACATCCCTTGATCAAGCGGAATCCTGTCATATCAGGACAGTTTCCGCTGCACCAAGGGTGTCCGGTTAGGGCAGGTCGTCCCTCGTTAATACATAATCTCTGGGACTTGACAAATGTTATGTATTAACGGGGTTTATGTACTAAACGAAAGAGTACATAACTTGCTTTTATAACAGAATTTTTCACTTTGTACATACAATGTACGCATGCGTACCAGCCTACACAGACTATTAAACCCCACTTCATGGAATCATTGCGACCGTCTGAGCTTTATGCCGCATGCAATCACCAGACAATACCTATCCATGAAGAACACTTGTGTACAGAGGGAAGTCGTCACAGGCACCAAGCCATGTTGCCATGGTTTCTACTTTCAATACACGTTTTAATCTACAAAGACCACCAGTGTTCAGAGAGCAGGCACCAGACCACTGCATTTACTCCCTACGCGTACCCCTGCGACCAGTGAAGGCTAGCAGTATTCGCTACTAGTGCGGGTCACACGCACGCACACACATACATATGGCACATACACACATGTGAGCCTCTAGATCTGAAAAGGGAGCTTCTTTCGTTTTGCGCAGTATTGAGAAAAATGCATTTGAAAGCTGAGTTTTCCGCATATTATAAAAGCGATGTATATAATTCTGAATTACAGATGGAGCGGACTCGCTCCCTTCTATTTACACTGCAACGTTCGAACACATTTTCGTAGTTAAAACAACGTTTCGGCATATAGCCCTCATCAGGTTTGCAAACCTGATGAGGGCTATATGCCGAAACGTTGTTTTAACTACGAAAATGTGTTCGAACGTTGCAGTGTAAATAGAAGGGAGCGAGTCCGCTCCATCTGTAATTCTGTATGAAACTGCAGGAGGCCTCACCGCTTCTAAAGTATATAATTCTCTTATTGAAACACCCATAGCTCTGTGAAAGATGCAGATTTTGGACCTAGTTTATTTTTACATAGTGATCTGCTGAGATACAGCAATGCCATGGTAAAGATCACTCATTAATAATAATATGAACAGGTCGCATATTGCCCGCATAAACAAATCATACGGGGGTCATGCAGCTGTCAATGATCGCTAACCAGAGTTGCTTGTTGGTGGCGAGGTCGAGGCATTCCTGAATCGGCACATTCAGGGGTTTGAGGTCTTCTTTGGTGTTGTCGACCCGTCTCTTGTGGGGTCGTCCACGTGGGCGCTTGATGTCCGAAGTATTGAGGGCTAGCTGCAGTGCCTTGTAAGAGGCCGCGTCTGGTCCCTCCCGGGCAACGTGCTCCAGCCACAGGAGGCGGCGCTCTTTACATGATCACTCAAAATGCTCAGAAAATGACATAAGTCCCCCTTTTGGGCTCTAGAGGCTCATGACTGTAATACTTGTATTATTTTATATACACACAACCCCTCACACATTCAATGTACATGTATACAAGCCTGAAGGGCTTCATACACTCAGAAGTTTAGAGTGCACCACTTTTCACCCCATCACTCACGCCACTCGAGAGATAACATTTCAATGCGGCAACTCTTCTATATTGGAGAACGGTGTGCAATCAAGATTTCAAGGCCAAAACACACAGCGTCAATATTGCATATTGGAGCACAAACTCAGGCAGAAACTTACTTAGATTGTGGTTGAGTATCATCTACATCACCCGGGCAATGACCATCACTACCTAGAGATTGAACAGAAACAGTTCATACCATGTGCAATTCAGTGCACTGACTACCTTGCACAGCTTGAGTGAGTGAGAGAGAGAGAGAGAGAGAGAGAGAGAGAGAGAGGAGAGAGAGAGAGAGAGAGAGAGAGAGAGAGGGGGAGAGGGAGAGAGAGAGAGAGAGAGAGAGAGAGAGAGAGAGAGAGAGAGAGAGAGAGAGAGAGAGAGAGAGAGAGAGAGAGAGAGAGAGAGAGAGAGAGAGAGAGAGAGAGAGAGAGAGAGAGAGGGAGAGAGAGGGAAACAGAGAGAGAAACAGAGAGGGAGAGAGGTACTTCCACTCTGTCCTCTTTACTAACTTATGCATTTCAGCTGTGTTGCGACCCACAGTTAATTGGGAAGTCTTGGCCTGGCACGAGGGAAGCATGGATAACACACTAGCAGGCCCAGCTCCGGTGTGCCCCGTTGCTCGGCAACGTCCATTGAGATCTGCTCGCGTACGCTTTTTGCATGCTGCTCGGCAGCAGCAGGGCACAAACCCAGACAAGCAACACTGCGTACCACGAAGGACACACCCACTCGGTCAGTGGCAGATGTTGACGTGCCGGGAGATACATGAATAGTTAACATTTTGCTGTAAGGGAAAGCAGGCAGGCAGGCATAGTGGGACTGTCTAAAATCATGACTGGGATACTGAGCGTGCCAGGTTCAAGTCCCGCTTGGAAACGGAAGGATGTTTCCAGCCCTGCTGCAGCCCACAGTTAATTGGGAACTCGTGGCCTGGCACGGGGGAAGCATGAATGGCAGCGAATGGGATTTTTAGTCCTCGGCCACTTTGGTGGGTCTGATCGACTCACGGCCCACCGATTTAGGAGCTGCATCTGCGCCTTGATCCTTGGGGGTGGTGGCGTTCCTACGGATGCGCAAAACCTGGCCTACAGCCAAGTCTCACGCAAACCGTGAATTTGATTTGTGAGAGAAAAAACCAACGGCAAAATTATACGTCAATATCTTATGCATGGGAGTTGCTCACCCCCGCCCTCCTGTATCTTGAACAGATCATTTGCCAAGTCCCTGTAGTTGGACGACTCGCCTGCCACAGCACACACGGCCTCGCGGAACGGCTTGAACGTCGTCCATCCGCCGCTGATCAGGTCCTGCAGCAGCATCTCATTCTTGGCAATGTCGCCGCCCGCCTCCGCGATGATCTGCTTCATCTCGATGTCGGTGAGCACACCGTAGAGACGTGTTCGCAGGTCCTCGTTGCTGAAGTTGTCCACGATGAACGAGTACCACTTCACAAACTTGGCGTCTTTCCACGGCGACTCCTCGCAGTCCGTCTCCTGCACCGAGGCAACACAAAATCACGGTTCTAAGGTTCGTGTGAGGTGAGGCTGGAGGCCGAGTTTTGCGCATCCGTAAGAACGCCACCACCCCCCCCCCCACCCCCCCCCCACCCCCAGGGATCAAGGAAGCAAGGGAAGAAAAAGCGAAAATTAACACCGTGCCGATCAGCAGTGATAGTCAAGAGTCCCACTGAGAGAATTCCACGCACACCATGTGCCACACACTTACACTTGCACGCACACACACACACACACACACACACATCCACTCTCTCTCACACACACATACACACACGCACGCACATGCACACACAACTAGGGGGGTGCACGGGAGCCGAGGGGAGCCCCCCAGGCAATTTTCTGCAATTTGTTTGCAACCTTCTTGAATTTTAGAGCATATTTGCATACATTACAATTGCAATTACCCAGATTGAAAATTTTTGGGGGGTGCACGTGCCCCCCGTGCCCATCGCCGAGCACGCACCTGCATACGCACACACACGCACACACACAGACACCCACACAAACACAGAGACACGCACACGCAGACACACGCTCGGCGCGCGCACACCCCCACACGCACCATTCAAAGCTAATTCCGACCTTGTACTTACCCCAAAGTCAACAGCTCCATCCAGTACGACCCCGTCAGCGGACTCCATGATTGGCCTTGATACCAGCACTCACAGTTGACACTAGACGCAGACACAGACACAGACACTAGACACAGACACAGACACAGACACTAGACACAGACACTGGACACTAGACACAGACACTAGACACAGACACAGACACAGACACTAGACACAGACACAGACACAGACACAGACACAGACACTAGACACAGACACAGACACAGACACTAGACACAGACACAGACACTAGACACAGACACAGACACTAGACACAGACACAGACACAGACACAGACACAGACACTAGACACAGACACAGACACTAGACACAGACACAGACACTAGACACAGACACAGACACTAGACACAGACACAGACACAGACACTAGACACAGACACAGACACTAGACACAGACACAGACACAGACACTAGACACAGACACAGACACTAGACACAGACACGGACACAGACACAAGCACAGTAAGACCTAGGCTTACCGCACCCTGTTTTAAGCGGAATCCTCTCCGGATCGGGCACATTTTCATGCACGGATGGGCTGCCGTAGAAAACTCACCGCAACATGCGGAATACGGTACTGTCGACCGCGGAAAGCGGAAAGGATTCGTGTGGAGATGGGGCGTCAAGGGTCAAAGGTGTGTGTGTGTGTCACTGTGTGTATGTGTGTCTTTGTGTGCGTATATATGTGTTTGTATGTATGTGTGTGTGTGTGTGTGTGTGTGTGTGTGTGTGTGTGTGTGTGTGTGTGCATGTGTGTGTGTGTGTGTGTGCACGAGTGTGTGTGTGTGTGCACGCGCGCGCGCGCGCGTGTGTGTGTGTAGAATCAGATCCGCTATCGTTGCTACAAAGAGAAAATCTGTGGGTGCACATCCAGTGCATTTGCAGAAGTTTGCGTGCTTCTCTTGCGACCGGCGTCTACATGGTACATGGTACATGGTGTGTGTGTGTGTGTGTGTGTGTGTGTGTGTGTGTGTGTGTGTGTGTGTGAGTGTGTGTGTGTGTGTGTGTGAGAGTGTGTGTGTGTGTGTGTGTGTGTGTGTGTGTGTGTGTGTGTGTGTGTGTGTGTGTGGTGTGTGTGTGCATGCGTATGTGTGCGCGAGCACACACAGACACGCCCATGGTTGAAGGCACGTACAGGAGAGTGCATGGCTCGTGAATGCTATCCAGTTCTGATATTCTTCTTGCATCCCACCCCGCTATTGCTGCGCATTGACCGTGCTCGGCTATGATGGATTACAGAATCACTGATTCAGATTCTTACCTCTAGTCCAGACCTTGAAACGACTGTTAGGTACGATCCCAATAGAATCTCCCTCTCTGATCACGGGTGAGTAGTAGTCGGCGGGAGTAGACAGTTTTGCTCCTAAAAGCTAATGGGACTCCTATCTGCTATGACCCCGGTGAGACACCATGCAGTCAGGACTATGGCCTATCTTCGACAGCACTGCTTGGCGGACAGCCCGTGGAAAAGAATGCTCGAGCTCAGTTGGGGCTAAGCTGCTTTGAAGTCGCCCTCTTATCCGCTCACAACCTCAATGATTACCGGTATCGATCACTGCAGTGCGAAAGTGAATCTGTGTGCAGTTTTTCGCATTCCCGTCTCGGATGAGATTAGCCTGGCCAACCCCAACTCTCGACAGTACTCCTGCCTATAGGGCTTGAAAGTGATGACGTCAAAAACGGTCAGGGAGTAGTAAATTGACATCAGATTTCTATTTTGGATCCACTGAGGTGTGACTTTGCTATTGCCTCAGTATGTGGGTACATAGCAACCCACTCATGTCGTATGCAGGGGTGACTTTTACTTCGCCACCAGTTGTAACCCCGCCCCCAGTAGCCAAATCAGTAAGTTTCACTGGTTACATCACCTTGCTGTGAGTAAGACGGCTTGAAATGTGCTTGGATCCATACAAAAACTGGATCCAAGTGGATCCAATTTTTGAATTTTTGAAATTGTTGCTATGCTGTGACGTAGCACTTTCAAGCCCTATTCACAAGCAACACAGTACAAGCGCTAATATTACTAGGTCTCAGTCTGTTAGCACGGCCCGCTGTTGTGTAAATGACATAATTTTGTTCTTCATGTGCATGGTAAAATGTTTGCGAGCGCTTCGGACCGGAGTGTTGCCAGTCTGGTCCTCTGGGCTCGTGTCGTCAGCTGCCGTCAACCATACAGATGATGGTCAACCCTGGCCTAGGTCTACGGTTCAGTTTTCCGCGCTTCTGAGCCTTGAGCACGTGCTGTACATACTCGAGTCAACTCAGGTGCTGTCCCTTGTCAGCGCCCTTTCACTGACAAGATCGTGTCGGACCCAACTCTGACTGTCTCCACGTCTCTGGACAACTACGGACACAGCATGCTTAGCTCACTCAGTACTGAGTTAGTAATAGTAGTTTTATCTGCCAACGAATGGCGCAGAATTATTTGTGCCAGGTGGTAGATCATCGATCTACTGCTGAGGTAGGCTGTCGTCCTGTGTTGTACCCTACATTACCACAGTACAGCTCTCGCAACCGCTTGGCTGTACTTTGCACTGAACAGATTGCATGCATCAGTGCATGCATGCTGGCGATGATGGTGCATGCATACTGACCGCCTGCACGTGCAATAAAACTGTAAACTGTCTACCATGGTCCATGGTCTACACTACACTCTACACCTCATCATGTCATGACATGATGAGGGACGGACAGGGCTCAGCGCGAGCTCGTGAAGGGATTTTCCCCAGGTTTGGGGTTTGCGGACGCTTGGCTCGACTGTCCACGCGCACGGCGAGGTTGGCCGGATATTTTATTGCGATCTTTCAGCACTGCAATCAGCATGATCATAGTGCATGTAGTGTGTTGGAGCATGCATCCGTCGTGACCAGGTGACGGATCGTGATCTTCACAGATTTCAGACTTCACTGAGCAGCGACCGTATCCATGCCATGGCTCACCAGGAAAACCGTCTGGATTTGCGCTTTCCAGCGCATGCAGTGCCGCAAGTAGTCAACACGACAAAATAGACCTTCAACTAGTTACTTCAAGACCACATAATCATTGCCAGACAGCGTCAGCCGTACCAGCATGCCATGGCAAAGACAGTCGAGCCACTACATGAACTGGCACTAGCACCTCAGGTTGTGTTGCATGGTTTTCACGGCGGCCTGGCGGAACGTAAAATGTAGTTCGTGTTGTTGAGGTTGGGAATAGAAGGCATATCCCATAGCCATCCCTACTGTGTGCTCAGTCTAGTCCCACCGATCTACTCTACTAGCAGTAGATCTACTACGCACTCGAGTGCTGGCAGTTACTAGTACTTGGCAGCATACCTAGCCGGCTTCATTCATATCGGATAATTATCGATATCCAGCTTGAAGGGCACGGCGTCGGGAGCACAGCAGCCTAGCCAGGCGGACGGAACAGCACAGCACCGGAGGATCTTCCGCCACACAACGCACGCCAACCAGCTCTATCAGACAGATTCAGAAATCAGAGGGGTAAGAAGCCTTGAGAAGTCATTCTGTTACGTGCACACGACACGGTATAGACATACAGTGCTATTCCATGAAATCCAATCGCCTGAGTGAAGTAGTTAGTTTGCAGCAAACGCCATTTCGCATGCCGGTACTAGTGGACACATCTCTATCTTAGCCTCAGGCGCGTACGCAGGGGGGGTTTCCCGTTGCCCGGAAACCCCCCAAATGTTCCAAACGAGCAACGTTTTTGGGCATATTTTGGTAGGGCGCACGATCGATCTGGCAAGAATGCGAAACTTCAACAGATCGTAACTCAGTCAATCTCACTCAAATCTAACGATCCAGATATCCAGGTCGAAAAGAAAACTCTCAGCTGTTGGTTGCAACAATTATTATTTGCGACGCGCTGCGAGCAATGTCTCTTGAGATAAATCGTTCGTAAGTTGAGCCACGACCTTTCAAAAGCGCGCAGTGGGACTCGAGTATCAAGAATTTGAGACTTTTCGTCCCGCTGACTTGCTCAATTATTTGCAGGATCCCGAGGAGCTTCACTTGTGATATTTTCAAGAGTACACAGCAAAAAACGAAACTCTGCGATCAAGAAAAGCGAAATCGCTGGAGCAGGACGCGTTTTTCGGCCTTTCGCCCAGTTGGGGCATTTTTTCGCACCGTCGCTGCACTCTACCGCTATAGCATTATAGAGCTGGATATGTACATGTCTGTACTGAGTCCTGGCAATCATGGTCGACCTCATTCTCTCCCTGGTAGGTCTACCTTTCCACTTCCAGGAAGCCTAGGATAATGAAGATTGAGTGATTAGAACTGAAGTTTATGATCCAAAGAACACGAAAAAGTGCATCATTTTGAAAATTTCCTATGGTATGGTATGGTACTGATTTATTTGAATTCGATATCTCAACAGTACAATGTACAACTTGGGAAGATCCGAATGACATAGATACATATAAAAGTGGAGTAGGTGCTACAGCTGATCATTTTATCGCAGATTGTGGGACTAAACTAATACCAGTATGCAAGTACACAAGAAATAAAAGCTGAATAAATACGACTGCAAGACTTTGGGGAAAAGCACCAATCAAAGCAAAACAAAGCGACATATCACTCATTCCGGGTATATTGTATATATATTGTAGGGCTCTTTAGACAGGGTTTAAAAACGAGTCAATGCTTGCAATTCGGTTGGAAACCCCCCTAGAGGTGACCCTGCGTACGCGCCTGGGCAGCCTGTCACCAGGAAACCCTATATATAGGGTTTGACATAACGCTACACATAAAGAAGCTATGTATAGGGTTAGGACCCCTAAAGAAAGGGTTTGATCAGTCCTCACAACTGGGCACACAATACACACAGTTTCACTTGTTTGTTTTTTTTAAATATTTTCACTGCATTGATGTTAGCAGGAGCGCTCCTACGCAGTGCGCGAGTGTCGCCGCATTTCCTGCTTCCGACCCACGTGTGGATCAGCTGATGCAGAAACGGCAATGGCGGGAGCGGCAGCTGCGACAGCCGCTTTTGATGCTTCGCCTTCTTCTTCAGGAGGATCCGACGCTGCTGGAACATCGACATCATCATCCTGAGTCGACACCAGGTCGCCAGGAACATTCTCATCGCCCGAGTTCGTCTCCACTAACTCAAGTTGCTCTTCCTCCATCGTGAAAAACACAAACCCTAGATGTAGGGCCTAGAATTCTTCACGACAGCGCTGCACTAAAACTAACCGTACTCGAAGAAAATAGCAACAAAATGTTCACGGTCTTCAGCAAGAGAACCCTTCGTACATTCTACGTATGTGGGCACAGGCGTCTAGTTGCCATAGCAGCCAAGTGGGCTCTCAAGAGAGCACAAGATAGAACGCGCGGCTGAAAACCCTATAAATAGGGTTTGACAGGCTAAGATAGCGCGTTTCAAAAGTCCAGACCTTTGGTTTCAAAAAACCGTTAGGCCAGCATCTATACCACATAAAATCTGTGAACGCTTTGTACATAAAATTTCCGAAATTGGGCGTTTGTTATCCTATTGCTTAGAAATTGATATGAGAAAAATTGCGGAAGCTGCCTGAGCAATATACCGAAGTCTAAGAAACCCAAAAAGCGCAAACCAAATTTGAATTATTCGAAAAAGTCTAGAGGTCTATACTTTTGAAACGCGCTATAGTATAGGGCTTGAAAGTGATGACGTCAAAAGCGGCCAGGGAGTAGTAAGTTGACATCAGATTTCTATTTTGGATCCACTAAGGTGTGACTTTGCTATTGCCTCAGTATGTGGGTGCATAGCAACCCACTCATGTCGTATGAATGTTTGACTTTTACTTCGCCACCAGTTGTAACCCCGCCCCCAGTAGCCAAATCAGTCAGTTTCACTGGCTACATCACCTTGCTGTGAGTCGGACCGCTTGAAATATGCTTGGATCCACTGGATCCAAGTGGATCCAGTTTTTGAATTTTTGAAATTGTTGCTATGCTGTGACGTAGCACTTTCAAGCCCTATAGGGCTGCACAGCACTTGAGTCACTCGAGATCCGATTTCATTGAGCAAGTAATGTATTACATTGTACTAGATGAAGTACAAAAATTGGCACCAGGATAGTACTCACAGACACTGTCTCGACTCTGTGCGCAATGATCATTAGATGAAATTCGGAATTGTCCTTGGCCGTAACGACGCGATACTCAGCTGCATGGCACTAGCCCTTGCCAGATAATGCTTGGCAAATTGGCAGATTCTACTCGAAAAGCAGTGAAATTGGCAGAACCATACGAACTTTATGGCAAACTCTTCCTAGAATTCTGCTCTATTTCTTCGTCCACATACCAAACATGCATTTAACATACTGATGACATTCTGACTCGTGTTTTTCTCTCTGGTCATGTGATGTCTGCTCTCTGCACACGACTATGGTCAGATGGACAGACAGGAGAAGCGCTGTTGGCGACATCCGCTCTATCAGAAAAAAAACTTCCACAAAATCCTTTCTGCTGCCGAGCCTGTTGGTCTACGACTGGAACTCGCCTCCAAATGCCGCATCACGCAGAACCAGAAATTGAAGCTGATTAACACGGAAAACAGCAAGGGCCCAGTCTGCCATAATGAGGAGCTGCTGCAGATGATAAGCTGCGGAGGCACAGCAGCATTCCGTGACCTGCGAGACTCACTCGCGGCGATCTTGCCAGTTGGCCACGAGGGTTTGCTAAGCGATCTGCAGAAAGTGCTGGACGAAGTGTAGCTACTGGTACAGTGACCATCCACGGTTGGTAGAGTCAACCGTGGATGGTTGTGGAAAGGTCACTGGGTACCGAACACGGTGTCCTCCACCTTGTTTCATGCTGTCAAACCAACAACACTGTACAACACTGTACATACATGTACATACATGTACTGAAGTACTGGACTACGGGTACATGTGCCTACTGCAATGCGCTGATCAGTCCACAAAGGACGAAACAGTTCTGCCTTCAGATTGAGTGCCTGCTGTGTATGAATACTTTGTGTTTTTTTTTAACGTTTGTTCTGACCTTCGACTTGAGAATTTGTCGTGAGAAAATATTGGGGCGCTTTCGATTACATATTTATACGTTTACACAATTCTGGATGTGGGTTTTGTAATTCTCGAATGACCATAATGTATGGATTGCGGCCATGTAAACGGAACGACTGGCATTCACAACGCATCATGTCATGTCCAGCATCGCGTACCAGTCCGTCCCGGTGAAGGCTCCATTTCCGCAACAATACTGGGCTTCGATAAAGCAGAACGCGTGTGCGAAAGGACCACGCAAAATGATCTGGTAATACTATTAATCAGGTCCAAACGTAAACTCAACTGCGGCAATTAGCTTTTCGGGAAGACAAAAGTAGCCCCTGCTTTCGCGCCACGCCGGCCAGGGAGGCTCTTCACGTGCTTTAGTCATGCATAACCAGACCGGTATAGCGCGGTAACATGCCAAGTGTGCAATTATTTGTCGCCAGAATTAGAGAAATTCTGCCCTCACTTCAGAATTGACTGAATTGGATAATTATAATCAATTCTAACGACGGAATTTGTGTAATCGAACTGTGCCCCAACAATAACTAATTCTAGAATTGACCGAAATGTATGAAATCGAACACGACCATGGTCAAAGCATTGCTCATTGCAGGCAAGGTCCCAGGTCCTAGTATTGTTGGAGTGGTCCGTGGGGCTAGCCTTTGGCACTGGCGATGACCAATACTAGTGTAGTAGTAGACACGATTATGAGTGATCCAAAGGACCAAAAATCAAGCAGCGGCATATGACTCCTGGATTGTCAGCAGGGAACAGTGTGGTATTTTGCTTTCCCGTGATTGTAAGCCCATACTTGTGCATGTACACGCATTTCAAACTCATACGTCATTGAAACCTGTAACTAACGACCACCGCTTGGGGCCAGAGAAAGCTGTCTTTAGTGGCAGGTGGTCCTTAGTTAGAGGTTTGCACCGCACAACCATGAATGTGAGACCGTCCGTGCCTGGCGAAGTGGTCTGTAGTACCAGGCTGGTCGCTAGTCACGGTGGTCTTTGGTTACAGGTTTTACTGTAGTACCAGGCTGGTCGCTAGTCACGGTGGTCTTTAGTTACAGGTTTTACTGTAGTACCAGGCTGGTCGCTAGTCACGGTGGTCTTTAGTTACAGGTTTTACTGTAGTACCAGGCTGGTCGCTAGTCACGGTGGTCTTTAGTTACAGGTTTTACTGTAGTACCAGGCTGGTCGCTAGTCACGGTGGTCTTTAGTTACAGGTTTTACTGTAGTACCAGGCTGGTCGCTAGTCACGGTGGTCTTTAGTTACAGGTTTTACTGTAGTACCAGGCTGGTCGCTAGTCACGGTGGTCTTTAGTTACAGGTTTTACTGTAGTACCAGGCTGGTCGCTAGTCACGGTGGTCTTTAGTTACAGGTTTTACTGTAGTACCAGGCTGGTCGCTAGTCACGGTGGTCTTTAGTTACAGGTTTTACTGTAGTACCAGGCTGGTCGCTAGTCACGGTGGTCTTTAGTTACAGGTTTTGCTGTACAATGTGTCATGTTGTTTTTCCGTGTTCGGAAACAGTCACGGACCTTTCTACAACAATCCACGGTTGGTAGAGCCCCGGTCGGTTGCGACCATCTGAACCGTATGGGGGCTCTACCAACCGGTTGTAGAAAGGTCACCGTCAACCAACAACAACATGTTTGAACAAACAAGGTTAACATGTACATGTACATGTACATACATGTACATGTACATGTACATGTACATGTACATGTACATGTACATGTACATGTACATGTACATGTACATGTACATGTACATACATGGTTGACAGCATGTAACAAGGTGGAGGACACCGTGTTCGGAAACATTGTTACATGCTGTCAACCAATAACATGTTTGAACAAACAAGGTTTACGTGCAACACACATCAGGAATCGTCATTGTACTATTAAGTATTATAGAAAACCTATGGTTGATAAATATGGTGGTAAAGACACACCTGGCAATATGGCGGTAAACACACGCCTGCCCACACACGCTCTCTAGGCTGCAAAGTTCTGGCACAGAGCTCTCCTTCTCACCACCACCACCACCATCAGTTCGCGCCTGGCGCCTGGTCGATGCATGGTTGGCGGTATCCGGCATAGCAGGCTGGTACATCAAGTAGCGCATGGCACATAGAAGATGACACAGCAACTACGACATAGCTCGATTGCGACGTACGTTTCGTCCCCGCTGGACTCATCAGGCAATCTTCTTCTTGGATGTCTTCATACGGAGCTTGGCTCGGGAGAATGAAGTTGAAGACACCACTGCAGCTGTACTTACGGTTGATAAATATAGAAAACCTAAGTTAGAGAAATAACACCAAGAACAACAGCAGTGAAATTTACAAGTGTGAATTTTAACCATGAAAGCGAGAGCAGTCATGAATGCGTGTGCTGACCATAAACTTGCAAATGAAAAATGAACAAACAAGAGAACGAAAGAAGGAAGGACAAAGTGATAACACATAACAGCAATACATTTCACCTAGAACACTAAGGGCCAAGCTTGGCCACACCAAACACGATACGTTACTTGAACAATTTCAACCTAATTATACTATATTTCTGTACACACAAATTAGCCTTGTACAAACGCTGATAAAAAGGCTTCCAACACTTTTAACTGTAGTCCATAACCATGACGATCACGGCACAATACAGTGAAAGAAGAGTCGGAATACGAATTGCAACAATCAGGACTAGCTAGCAGATGATTGTACATGTACACTGAAGATTTTCTACTACGAAACCTACGCACAACACCAACACTCTCACGACCACTCCCACCATCGCTTTCCGACTCACTGCTTCCTTCGCCATCCGTTCCATCCTCCGATTCCTCTGCGCTCTCTCTGTTTGGTCCATCCCGCCTGGCCCGCTCCATTGAAATTGACTCGGCCGTCAACCTGCTGTCACGTCCTTCCCTTCGCCCTTGGCCGTTGAATGCGTAGCTTCTGTTGTAGTTGGCTGTTGATCGTCTTGGTCTTTCAATAGTGGGATTGCATGGCGGATTAGTTGTGGTTGCTGTAGATTGCGTTGTTGGTGTTGGTGTGGGAGCCGGTGATACGCAAGGTGGGTCTTTTTGAGTCGGTAATTGTAGTGTTAATGTCGCTGCCTGTGTTGTTCGCGGCCTGCCACTGGCAAGCTCCACCACCACAAGAACCGACGGCGGAGGATCAGGAGGGGGCAATGGGACTGGGACCACATGCGGCACCGCCTCAGCCAAAGCCGCCGGGGGCACTGACGAAGGAGCCACCGACGGCAGGAGCAAAGGCGGCGACACAAGCCGACCCGAATGATTGCTCTCGCTTTCATTGTTAGAATTCACACTTGTAAATTTCACTGCTGTTGTTCTTGGTGTTATTAAAATTTTCTCTTACTTAGGTTTTACAATGCATTAATCTGTCGCTTCTGGATGCTGCGCAATCTGCTTCTGATAGAGCTGCTTGGCTCGAAATTGTCAACAGATGCGTTGACCTCATGCAATGAGTGATATGCGAACTGTCATTATTGTTATTATTATTAGGTTTTCACTCACAAAGCAACTGTTCAGTACATGGGGTAGTGGTCTACCACTACAGAGCAATCACACTCACAGTACAAAAACAAGGTTTATCTAATAATAATATGTACACACATGATTGTAGTGGTGTGAGTTTACACAGTATAATGACATTATTGTACAGATGAGAGCACAAGCAAAGGATGTAGAGTGGCAAAATAACTTCTGACCACGTGTTTTCAGGATTTCCGCAAATGGGAGGGCTCTCCGGCATCTGAGATCGGATCTCAGGAGCTGGCCTCACGTCTCGTGTTTCAGATGAAGACATTATTCACAGAGTGGATGCAGTGACAGCTTGTCTGCAGGCAGGAATACTATTTGCCAAGATTAACTTCATCCCAACAATGAATGACTACCTGCAATAATGGTTTCATCTCTCACTACATGGATAATTAGGGGAGGGATTTGATACACCGACTGTTCTGCCACAACCCTGCATCAAAGTTGGAATGGAGAGCAATCAATGGAGAAGCGATCATGTCTTACAGTGCTAAGAAGTAGTGGAGCTCGTCAGAGATAAGGTGGCAACTTCAGATGCAGATCGACGATATGCATAATTTCCTAGAAGTTTGACAATGTGCAGACTTTCTTCCATTTTTGTCCCAAACCAAGAGCATTGTATCCCTTGCTGAAGCACTATAATCAGCATTATAAGGCAGTTTTTGGAGCATTATGGTTAGCATTATACGAACATTTTGGGAGCATTATCCGCTGGACCCTATATACGATTGGCACTAGCAGAGCTACAGTGAGCTCTCTCCCTCGGCCTTCACACCTACATGTAACTGTTGGCTACCACACATACATGTACATGTATCTCCTTCCTGGGCGTTTATCTAACACACGCCCTTTGTCTAAACAGATTAGGGATACGCTCTCGAATGACGTCTAGAGTCTGCGATCCTTCTAATATCTAGCGCCAGATACAGCACCGGAACTAACTAACTTGGGTGTTGTGTAGCATTGCAATGTAGGCGCTGCATAAGTGCATAGTTTATGTCTGGCACATGAATTTGTACTATCAGACGAAGCATTTGCTATAGTAGCAGATGTAAGTGTCATACTCCTAGATCTAAACGGTCATACAGGCACAAAGCAGGCTGGGAACAGGAAAAAGACAGCATGCATTGCATGTGCGGCGATTTCAATTTTGCGAACTCAGCGTGTGTGAGTGTTAGTAAGTACATGTAGAGTGTGCCCAGTGCAGCTATTTCCACCTTATCAGCGTGTGATGCAGCCAGTTCTGGGCTGGCGAGCAGACACCCACATGCTAGCGTCGGATAACAGCCCTTTTGCATTTCGCAGCTTGCACAGTACCATCGGGCACGGACGTGCGATCATGGTATTAAAGAGCACGATCTCTAGGCAATGGCCACAAACCACGTTGGTGATCCTGAGGAGCAACGCAGGAGAGAGAGAGAGAGAGAGAGAGAGAGAGAGAGAGAGAGAGAGAGAGAGAGAGAGAGAGAGAGAGAGAGAGAGAGAGAGAGAGAGAGAGAGAGAGAGAAAGCAGTGAGAAGGATAACACAAGGCAGCGAGCATAGGTCTATTTGCAGGACGTGTAGTAGCCGTTGGGCGAAATGGCAGACGTGCCCCATTCTCTTCGCATCGCCTTGGTAGTTCTCTGTGGATTTGGCGCGGTGCTATGCACTGACACAGCAAGCTCAGTGCAATCGCACCGTAGCAAGAGAGATCTGCCATTGAGCCTGGAGTGCGACCCTAGGGTTGCGTCCGGAGCGAGTCGTTGCTTCAAAGGCGATCTTCTTTCTCAGTCGGTAGGAGACTGCAAGAAAACGGGCTCCAGGGTCTGGTCTTGCTCGCCCAAGGGAGGCCGTTGGTTTAGCACGTCTACGGATGTTGCAGACACGAGCAAACATGGTGTGAACTGTGTCCCGGACACAAGTAAGCCGGTAGCGTGCGGTACCAAGGATACGCGGTGCGTCTGCGATTCACCCGTGGACATTACCAGCCCGCTGAAGCGTCCCTACAAGTTCAACAACTGCAGATGCCAGTACTGGCCTGCAGTGGATGTGAGAGACTCGCGACCCAACGTGTGTCGGCAATACGACCACGGTGGTACGTCTAGCGTGCACTTCTACGCGTGCTGCAACAATTGCGCATCGTCGGAGAGCACCTGTGATGGACAAACGTACCAGGGCGGTGGCTCCGAGGGACAGTACTGCGCTCCCTGCGGCAAGCGTGTGGCCGAAGAGATGACGTCCCGTCACACGTACACCTTCAACTGCGGCGGCTGCAAGCAGCAGGGCGTGTGCAAGCAGCAGTGTGATGAGAAGTACCCGATCGCCAGTAAGCTGCCCGGGCTGTGTCCGATGTGGGCCGGTTGCTTTAGGAGATGCTGTCTACAAGCCGTGCCCCAGCAAACCAACTCGCGCAGATCTGCTGCACTGGCCAAGTTTAGATTCTTGCTCCGCGCCTATCTTCAAGGCTAGAGCGGCTCAAGCACAACGGCAATCCCAGCCAGTCTTGCCTTCACAGAAGTTCACTATCGGCGCTAATCATCATATTGACCACCCTTCATAATTATTTCAGTTCACGCCCATTTATGCCAGATTGGGTTTGATATTTGTCCAGAATTATCCGTCCAATATGTCATTCACTTGGTCACAGCTATAGTGATTATGTAAATCGCCATACAATGAGAAGCTATACAGTTATGTACAGTCATGTACTTATCTGCTAAGTTCCTAGTTTGTCTTTCAATCCTGCCAACAAGCTCTTCACAACTGTCCTTTCCAAATCCTCCCTTGCGTGCGTGTGTGCACAGTCATACATGCGTGTGTGTGTGTGTGTGTGTGTGTGTGTGTGTGTGTGTGTGTGTGTGTGTGTGTGTGTGTGTGTGTGTGTGTGTCCCATATGGTGCAGTAGTGTGTGCAGTCGAATTACAATCGAGAGGTTGCGAATCAATTCCCGACGATTATGGTCACACACGTCTTTCTTCTCGTGCTCATTCTCCTTGCTCTTCTTTCATTCTCCTGGGTGGTTGCCAACAGCCAGTGCATGCCGGAGTATGTGGTATGGTGTGTGCGTGTCAAAAAAATGGAGAATGAAATAATGAAAAAAGTGAGAAATAGGGATTCAATGGCCAGAAAAAGCCACCTCAATCAGCTGTGTGGTGTAGACCAGGCCAAAATTAGTGGCGGTCAATTCATTATCCTTGCAAGCTGTTGAATGGTGTAATCCCAGAACAAGTTGCCATGTCTAACATACATGTAGTTGTTCACTATCATCGCTTCCGCGATAGATAGGCATGGGCGGGTAATGCTAGCATTATGGCTGGCATTATAGTCCCTTTTTTCCAGGCGGCATAATGCTGGCATTATAACACCATTTCGCATGCAAAATTGGCATTACAAGCATAATGTCGCCGGTCAACAACGGTGTCATGCATGAAGCTGGCTAGGTCCAGTTCCGAAAATCGTGCATCTGAACCCGTCCAGCTACATCCGGAGACTTGACGTTGCAAATCAACCTTCTCAGTGGATTGTTTCAGACAACATGCTCACTGCTGTTTAAGTTTTTTGCTAGGCAGGTCTTATCTGAGGTGAGGTGTGTGTGTGCGCGCGCGCGCGCGCGTGTATGTCTGTGTGACCGTGTGTGGGTGTACGTGCGGGGTGGGTGCAGCATGTTGGGTGGGGTTTGCCGGAGTCACACCGGAATAATCATTATCATTCTTATAATGAAATCGAGCAATGCCTTGCAGCCGTGCACATATCAGAGCAATGTTGTTCTAAGCCGGTCCAACCTGATTCCGGTTTGGCGGATATATTCAAACGTTTCGGTTATTTTTAAAGAACTTTGAAGCCCATTACGCTCACACGACGCGCATAATGACGGGTAACGTTGAAGGAAAGTGACCATGGTGATTGGGTCGCATGCCACGAAAATCATAATCGCACCGAGAAAAAACATCAATGGTTGCTCGGAACCTTGAGCACAACGGGCACTCTATGTCACCCGTATAGTATGTGTGTCACTGTGTGTGTGTGGGGGGGGGGGGGGGTAGTTCGAGCTGCAACTCCCGGTGCCGAAAGGCGGGCTAACGCCCCTACATGGCTACTTCCCCTTGTCTAACCCCCAAGACGAAAATTAATGATAGTACCCGACTGGCCGAAATTGAAAAAAAAAAAGGCTACACTAGTCCTTGCATCAGTAGTCTTGTATGTGTGTGATCAAGTAAGGTTACGTGTCTTTGTTAGCAGTGCGTACCATGATGCCCAGGCATCGAGGTTACATAGTGAGAAGAGGGGTGGTGTTTCGTGGTTGTCGTGACGAGGTGCTACGGAATGAGACCGGACCTGATCCAACATCAAAGTCACATACCGTATCATCTCTAATATAAGCACAGTCTCCAATAATGGCACGTCTCCAATAATAGAACACCTTGGGGCGGCATTCAAAAAATAAAGTGCTCAGTCTCCATTATAAGCACACTGTGTAAATTCGTTATCTGTACCGGCGAAAAAAACCCTGAAATGTGTGTGTTTGACATGAATTTAGCATGGCAACATGCCTCTGAAATGAGGTTGAAATAATAATGGAACAGTCTCCAATAAAGCAAGGGGCGGAGATACATTGAAAAAATAAGGACCGTGCTTATTAGAGATAATAATTATGGTAACACGTCGTGATCATGTGATCAGAGTGATTTGAAAGAAAACAGCGCGTTGCTTACGCGGGTACAACAGCCACTAGCTGCTTAGACCGACGAAGCCCAAGAAGCTTTGCACTGTCTGTGCCTTCGCCGGCTTCGGTTCTTCGCTGGAAAACGCACCTGTATACTATTCGTATGCGTCCATTCATTTTATTTTGAATGTTGTAAGAGGGGAAGCGACAGGCAGAGAGCGCGCTGTGGAGTGGTTGAGTTCACGGATAGTTCCAGGAGGGGACGTCGAAAATGTGTGCCATGGTGGGTTCGTTCTTGCTCTATGCGTTGGTCGCTGCGACGAGCGTTTGCTCCGGCAATTCGAACGCAGCTGCCAGGCCGAACGTTATTTTCATTCTGGCCGATGACTGGGGATGGGGAGATGTCGGTGTGTACAATCCAGGTGAGAAAATACCTGTACTTGGCACGGTACACGTGATATTCCGTATTGATTGAGCAGATTGAGGCTAACCGATAAGCCCTGTCCTCGTACAGTGAAATCTCAGGCTGTGCGCGCATGTGTGTGTGTGTGTGTGTATGTGTGTGTGCGCGCGCGTGTGTGCGTGTGTTTGTATATGTGCATGTATGTACATGCGTGCATGTCTGAATACACCGTACTGTGTTTTCAGATCACCCGTTCATTCGCACACCATACCTGGACGTGCTGGCCTCTCAGGGCATGCTGTTCACTGACTTCCACGTGGCCAACCCTGTGTGCAGTCCCAGTCGGACGGCCTTCATGACCGGGCAATTTCCCAGCACATTGGGAATATTCAACTACCTGCGCAGCAGCCATGCGGCCAACCATGGCGACGGAATGCCGGACTTTCTGAACGCAAGCACGCCCACGATCACACGACTGCTCCAGCAGGCTGGTTATCGCACTGGTCACTTTGGAAAGTGGCATTTGGGTGAGGTTCCTCACACGCATGGATCAATGGCATCAATGGGTTCTCCCATCCACAGGCCCGACGGAACCGGTCCGGTTGGTCAAGCCATGGCCGGACCAACCTTTTGGCCACCAACGTGTGTATACCCTTCGTATCATACACAAGTTATGAAAGGCTAGAGTATGGCCGGACCAATACAAACTTCTCCCGTCAGTCCTGGTCAATTTAGAACTATTATTGTAGTCACGGCATACTAGTAGTGAAACGGTTCGCAAGTCCGCTTTGCAACCGGCTATACAATTGCGTTGAGAAACACGACCAACTTAGGAAGTTTCGCTCGTGCCACTGCCAGGCCACCATCATGCCTGTAGTAGTGCTATGTAGAATATCACATGACTGATCTGCACGCCGTGTGCCATGGGTGCATGTCAGTGCAGATCTGACCATCATGGCTGAACTGAAGACGTATTCTGGGAACTTTGAGACAGGCTTTCTCAGACTTTCAGTTCAATGATTTAGTTCCTGTGGATTGAAAGTGCTGGGCAGATAAGGTGTTCATAGTCAGGGTGCGCAGTACTGCGCACTGATGATGTCATTAGATAAACCGTGCATTGTAGAAACACGCTTTTTAGTTTGACAGCATATTACAAGGTGGTGGAACACCGGGTTCAGAAACAGTGCACCGTAAGACCGGGGCTCTACCTACCGTGGACGGTTGTAGTACGGCGCACTGTTTCCGAACACGGTGTTCCACCACCTTGTAATATGCTGTCAAACTAAAAAAAAAACCGATGATGTGTGCGTGAAACATGTGAGCCTAGGACGAATGCAGGATGTGGTACAAAGGGATGGGGAGGGTGCACTAGAACAGAGGTATGGCATGTTTAGTGGCATGGGTGCCCAAAATGTGATGGTTAGTCTGAGCACTCAAATCCCTCACCCACCCCCCTGATGTCCCTGACGTGTACACGTCCGCAGGAAAACATTTGGATGTGGTGCTGCTTAAAGGTGTGTAAAGCATCAACAATACCATCGAACACATCCAGTGTGTCCAGACGATGTGTACGAATGACATCACAACTACATTGCACGCGTCGTCCGTTGTCCTCCCTCAATCACTGTCCACACATACGTAGACTAGACATGTACATTTGATGCAGCAATGCCAGGATAAGCACTCTTCTGTTTTCTGCTTGCCATTGTTGTCCAACCCAAGGATCCACACCAGATGCACCTCCCCCAACAGCATATGGTATCAACGAGTCCGCTACGTATACCTCCACTGATCCTAATCGCCTGGACGGGTGTGCTGACCCGGGATCCATTAAGGTTAGGCTCACAGACAGGACATGAATAACCGAGAGCACATGTGTACTTTTGCCGGTTGAGCACCAAGCCCTTTTCCTTGCATGGTTTACCACTCTAGTCCCTCCCTTACTCATACTCGTTGCCGGGTTAATTGGCAATTCAACTCCAAATGAAATCTGTCTTTCACATATCAATCAGTTTTTGGGTGGTAAATCTGTCTTTCACATATCAATCAGTTTTTGGGTGGTTTGACTCCCGTTGTCCTGCCATCTTCTATATCCATCAAGAACCGGCAAATTGATTTCCTCCCCCCCCCCCCCTCTCTCTCTCTCTCTCTCTCTCTCTCTTTCTCTCTCTCTTTCTCTCGACAAGGTGCCGAAGAAGTTTCATGTTGTCCCTATTTTGCTGTCCTTTTCTCCGACATGAAACCAAGGGATCAGGGGCCCTAGGTCCGGGAATGGAAAGCCAAACATTTGCTTTTTCTTGCCTGCATTAGTTTGCTGTCCATGTATGTAGGTCTTACTCACAAAAGGTAGAATATGGCTTTATTGCGACAGTCTTAACGCTTATGAGAGCATCAGGCAAAAGCATTCTGATGGCATACGTGTGAAGCTTGAGTGGCATTAACCTCGTTCTACTGTATTTGTAAGAAAGGTCTGCTCGTGTGTTCATGGTATTGAGCACTAAGGGAACAGAAGACTAACTCTGTTGTATTTTTGGAGAATGGGTTTATTAACTCTCCTATGTCCTGGAGAATGGGTTTAACAACTCTCCTGTATACTGGAGAACGGGTTTAGTAACTCTACTGTGTACTGGAGAATGGGTTTAGTAACTCTACTGTGTACTGGAGAATGGGTTTAGTAACTCTACTTTATACTGGAGAATGGGTTTAGTAACTCTACTGTGTACTGGAGAATGGGTTTAGTAACTCTACTTTATACTGGAGAATGGGTTTAGTAACTCTACTGTACACGGAACGGGTTTAGTAACTCTACCGTGTACTGGAGAATGGGTTTAGGAACTCTACTTCGTTCTGGTCTGACTCCTCTACTCTGATTAGGTTTGCCCCGACGTCCATTGGTCGGGCAAGAGCTCAGGACTGATCGTGGATCGCGGCATTGAGTTCATCGGCAACGCCAGCAAGGACCAGGTGCCGTTCTACCTGAACCTGTGGCTGCACGTGTCCCATGCACCTCTGCAGCTGTTACCGGACCAGTTTGCACACTACCCACTGAATCGCACGTGCCGTCTGGAAGACCCGGATGTGTATACCCATTGTCCAGAGCAGGTAGGTGGCATCCCCCCCCCCCCCGACTTTCTGTAGGATGAAATCTGGGGTAACAGATCGTTTTCCTGTTCTTTTCACAACAAAAAGGTTTGCTGTGCTCCGAAGTAGTATTTAGGCCTTCTCGATGTATATCCCATCCCGGTTGCTATTTTCTATGTGCAACCAATAGCTATTTTCGATACATACATGTAACTCCTACAGCCACGCACCCCACCAATAATGTTTCGTTTTGAGCGAACAGTTGGTACACTTGGCCCGCAGTGCAAGTCGGTGAAGGATGTGTTTCCCTTGCAGTGAATTGAGAGAGTGATACATGGGTGAACATGTTCAATGGCATGCATCGTAACTTGACCAAAGACTAGATTGGGACAAACCACTGAGGTGTATGAGTGAGTGTTTGTGGGGGGGGGGGGGGAGGAATTCTCCAAGTGACAAACAGATCTCCGAAACAAAATATTCGGCATTCTTTACTGAATTGCATAAAATTTGGAGTTCAAGAACGAAGTTGCTTGCTATACTGTGAGAAGGAGAGAACGAGGTTCAACTGTTGCAAAGAGCTAAGCAAACACGGTGTACGGTATTGTGTAATTTCTGATTGCTATGTAGGTATTCCGAGCGGCACAGCACGATGCAGACGCACAGATTGGGCGACTGATGAGCGCGCTGGACCAGATGAAACTAGTCGCCAACACTGTAAGTAACTGCACAACAGCTTCTTTAGTACTTCAGTTGAACCATTTCTTCAACCTAGACTGGCTCAAGTGTAATCTCCGGCCGGTAGACGCACCACCTTTTTAAGGTGACGTGTGATTTTCAACATACACACGGCGCTGAGATGGTCATAAATCAAAGACTGCCACGGCTCTGTGCAACGCCTAGTGCATGCATGTGCCATTCTCGATAGAACTTCGTATATCCTCTCTCTAGCTAACTTCTAATGTGTTCAATCGATGTACACGACTTAGAACTATCTGGCAACAGTGTGCAATGGCCGTGTCTTCGTCTCGCACAGCTTGTGATATTCAGCGCTGACAATGGGCCGGAAGATCCCAACATCTACTTCAACTCCGTTGGCAGCGCCGGGCCGTTCCGCGGCCAGAAGCGCAGCATCTACGAGGGTGGTCACCGCGTTCCTTTCATTGCCAGATACCCTGGTGTCATACCGACCAATCGTACATCGCACGTCCTCATGTCCAGCGTGGATTTCTTGCCCACGATCGCTGCATTTACAGGCACCCCTCTGGACAGCAGTGTAGTGGGACACTTGGTGGGCATGGATATGACCTCAGTACTGAAAGGTGAGAGCAGTTGCGCTTCGTTTTGTGGCTGAGACTTGGGACATTATGTCTAAAAGTGATATTCCTTCCTTACTCCTCTACTTTTTTCCCCTATCTCTGTATATCCCCTTCTCTCTCTCTCTCTCTCTCTCTCTCTCTCTCTCTCTCTCTCTCTCTCTCTCTCTCTCTCTCTCTCTCTCTCTCTCTCTCTCTCTCTCTTTCTCTCTCTCTCTTTCTCTTCTTTTCGGACTCTCTCTCTCATACACCAGCTCTCACACTATGTCTATCTCACTGTCTCGCTGACTCCCTCTCTGTTCTCTCTCTCTCTCTACCTTCCTCCCCCCCCCCCCCATCCCTCCATTCCCCTCTCTCATTAGCTAAAAGCAGAATATTTCCACTTTTCGCTGGCTTTCTCTGTATAGGTGGTCCAGCAGCAGAGAGAAAAGTCAATCTGAAATGGGATTGGAGGTTCTCAGTGATCGGTAACTGCTGGAATATGGCACCGCGTCTTGCAATTCGCCAGGGTGACTGGAAGCTGTTGATGAATGCGGACGGCAGTCGGGTGGAACTTTACAATATGACAGAGGTATGGTAGTGTGTGTGAGATAGAGTGTGTGTGTGTGTGTGTGTGTGTTTGTGTGAGTGTGAGTGCGTCGGTGTCTGAGACCGTGACTTTCGCCGTCAGAATGATTATCCTGACATGAGATTTACTGTCTCGCCTAACAGCTATCATAGCCTTCGGTGATGGGATTTCCTAATGTCCAAAGGTGTGAGCGCATGTGTGCTTCTGTCTTCGACCACTTTGAGGTGGGTTTGATCTACCCACCTCCCACTGATTTAGGAACTGCATCTGTGCCTTGATCCTTGGGGGGGGGGGGGGGGGGGGGGGGAGGTAGCGTTCCTGTGGACGTGCACAACTCAGTCTGAATGAGTCTCACACAAGCCTTGAAACTAATCATGGAATAACCGCAATTATACTTCTCATTGCTTCCATACCAGCGCTTTGGCTGTGTGGTTCTGGGCTTGCCTGCGAATCACAAGGTCCCGAGTTCGACACCCGCGCTGGCAGCAGGGAACGTGTACTGTGCTAATGAATGCGTTGATGCACGCGTGAACCACTTTAGAGGTTCGCCACCTTATCGGGCATCGGTCGCGAGACTTACCACCTCACCTCGTCGTTATTGCGCTGCATCTGCCACCAGGGCATCACCAGGCATGTTGGTGGCCTGGCACGAGCGAAACTTCTCCAAGCTGGTTGTGTGTTCTCAACACAATCGTAAGCCGGTGGTAACGCGGATGTTCAAACTTACTTACTTCCATAACTATACATCAGATTCTGGCCTTCACTGTATTTGATTATACAATCTTCAGCCCCGCTTTGATATTTTGTTGTGCTCTGCTTCTTCCATCTTGCAGGTTCACTTTGAAGACATAGATCATTCGTCGCGGCAGCCTGACGTTGTCAAGGCGCTGAGTACCGAGCTGTTGAGCTGGGTGGCCACGCAGCCTACTGGTCCGGTGTCCGCACATCCGGGCTGTGCAATGCACGTCACGCCCTGAACGCACAGGGTATATCCACTGGTGTCCTCCACCGAATACGAACACAGTTCACTGCACAATTCCGTCATGCTTGAAGCAGGAAGGCCGTAAAGAATGTATTTTTGTATTTGTATTTATGGATTCTCCGTAGGCCTTAGCCTAAATCGAGGGAGTCTCCGTCAACAACTTTTGTACTGTACTAACTTTTGAGATTGCCTCACAATGGAGCTGTTGCACATTTAATTATACCATTGGTCACAGTGTCTGCTCTAGTATCTCCTCTAGGATTTCAAACCAACAGGGTTCACGTGTACCTGGCAAAAACCATTGCAACCGGGTCAGAGCCGGGTCCGTTCAAGTGCGGTTGGCTACTGCATGACTTGTACATCAGGGAGTTGTAAATATTTTAGGGCTCCATGATGTACATGTATTTTGAAGTATTTCCAAGCGGGTCACAGGTGTTCTTTTCCAAACGGGTCCAAGTACCCTCCCCCCCCCCCCCCTGCCGGGTCGCTGACCCGGATGACCCGGCTCTGGAGCAGACACTGGACCATAGAAGGTAGCCATGTTGGTCGCAGCTCCAGTCAATCTCTTCATCTATGGGCCACATGATGTCGGCCACGTTGGTTCCACTGTCTGCATGCAATGTACACTTTCTATCTGGGAGTCGTAAAATATGTACCACATTATACTTTCGACATCCTGCTTTCTACCCAGATGTGGTTACAGAACCAATATGTGGAGCAAATCTATAAAAAGCTGAAAGGCTGAAAGCTATGATTGAGTTTTGGAGACAGGAGAATGGTCGAGGAGTGTGTGCATACCATTGGCATTATAAAGGAATCCGTACCTCATTCATCATCTCTATTGCCAACTGTCCCCACATAGGTGACTGACAACCCCCCCCCAGACACACAACGAACACACTGCCCTCAATCCCTTTGCAGGGATGTCAGTTCAAATCATCAGAATTAGTTCGCCTGGCTTCTTTGCAAGCCCTTCGGTCAGTCACCGCTCCGCTGATGAGACCCAAGGAGATCGAAACACACATCTGTCCGCAAACTGAGGAAGGATCTCATTGCGTGATGTTGCCGGTATTCGAGAGTTTGATTGAACAGACTGAACGCGGGACGCAGGTCTAATCGCCGATCTAATCTTTGCTGTACACTACACTACACTACACTACTGGTTGGTGGACCTGATCTATCCTCCCCCACCGTTTAGGAGCCGCATCTGACGCCTGATCATGGGGTGGTTGCGTCCCACGGAAGCGGAAAGGTGGTTCTTGATAGGCCTTGACGGATTATGCTAATATTTTCGTGAAATTATGCTTTTCGCATTGCTGAGAAAATGGCCGAATTATGCTATTTTTATTAGTGGTGAAACGAATATTCGAACATTCGTTCGGTTTGTCACATTCGAATATTCGTTAAGGTGGGACACCACCTTCCAGGGGTCAAAAAATCAACTTTCGATTTGTCACCTTTTTGCTATTGGAAATCAAAGCATATGCCCTGAGGTGTCAGTATTCCAAATTTGAAGCGATTCGGACCAACCGTTGCAGTCATATGACCGTTTGAAATTTGAAAATATTTGAAAAATTTGTACACATCGATGTTCGTACACTAAAAAGTTGAAAAAATTGTACACATCGCGATGCTCGTGCACTAACGAGCTGTCAAGATTGTGGCCGTGGAGTTTGGGAGTTTTGAAGGCGCGCTTTTACTTCCAAATTTTGTTGCCATGGCAGCAGTGACCCGTGCCACGTGCAAAAAAAGTGCAAAAAATTCTTTCCCAAAGGACTTCTTTGCTGTTGCAATTAATGTCGAGCGCGATGCACAATGGGGAACAAGAAGAGCAGGTCGTGCAAGCGTCCTGCAAAGAGAAGATTCTCACTGCACCTGTCCAGGAAGCTGCTGAGGGAGTTTATGAAGCTGAAGCAGTGCCAGAGTCCGCCTCGAAGCGCAAGTTGTACGATGGCGTTCCAAAAATAAGAATACAGTGATCATAATAAAAATTAATGGATTCAACTGAGCGATAGTGAGTCAGATTTGGAGGAGAGCTTTGATGGATGTGCGCTGGCCTCGAACTCAGACAGTTGCGCCCTCGAGTGATTCCTCGTTCTCTGAAGACTGTCATGGCCCAATCGCTGAAAGTTGTGATTCAGACGCCACTGGACTTGAATTGTTTACGAAATTTGATTTTCTCTGCTTGCTCGTGTAAATACTGTGGAGGTGAGCTGACCATTGCTGAAACTGCACGTTCTGGCCTTGCATCCACTGTCAGAATCACATGCTGCAATGAAGAGCCAGTGTTCAGCAGGCACCAGTAGTCGGGGATCCAGGACAAAAAAAAGTGTCTAAATCTGAAAGTGGTCTGCCACTAGAATCCGAGTAAAATCGAACTGTACAGGTGGAGAGAGTACCTGTTGTGGAGTCGAATGGTAGTTGTTGGCCCGTCTAGATCGGGGAAGGAGCTCCGCGAGAGGCAATTTTAGTTCAGCTTCGTCGGTCACTTGAACTGCTCACCTTTCGTCTCGGGCCGATTCTGAGTTGCGTAGAGTACGCACATGACAACCAAATGCAGTCAAATTTGAAAACTCAAAGCGAGTGTCTGATCTGGTCGGCGACTTCACTTTGTTGTTGATCATATTCTTGGTCAAGAAGTTTACTCTCGCTCTTGTAGAAGTAAAGCACAGGGACTTCGTAAGCCTAGCCTAGATATCGTTTGGTCCTTCCACTACCCACTCGCAATGGCAGCCAACAAACTACCCGCCGTGTCGTGTAGTTTGACGCCGCTTCGCGAGTGATCTCAAATGTTTTCTTGATTGGAATTTCGTTGATACGATCGATACGAGGGACACCTTACCTATCATTCTGCAAAGGTAAGCTTGGACCCTTTCTCTGCTTCTCTCTCAGGCACACACACCTTCAATAGCACTCGATTAAATTAGAGTTAGAGAAGACTAGAAATGATATAAACGCATTGTAGTCACTACAAAATCGAAAATACTACAACTGTAGTAAGGAAGACATGTCCAGTGCTGTGCAATTCATGGACAATATGCCCAGTTTAATATGTAAATTGGAATAAAATGTAGGATGATAGCGTCATCACTTTAGTAGCCAAGCTATGTACAAGCAGTTTATATACAATGTTTGAACAGGTTAGGTGTGTTGACAGCCATAGCCATAATTCACAAACACAATGGGTGGCTTGGACCAGGGGAGGACGGTGCAGTTGCCAGTGTCTACAGCGAGTCGTCAAACTCCTGATCTGGATCCTCATCAGAATCTGAGCTGGAGTCAGACTCTTCAAAGTCGTCAGCACCAGTACTTTCCTCGCTCTCACTGTTTTGGTCGCCTTCACATGCAGTTGTTCCCACATCTGCGGCACCGGAGCTGTCGTTCTGTTCGAGTACGGCCCCAAACGGATTGGCGCATGAGCAGCACGAGCAGATGTCCGTGCAAGCCAAGGACGCCTTCTTGCACGAACAGTGCTGACTTACGCAGTGCCTTGTCTTGCACCCACAGCTCACCAGTTTTAGTATGTCAGCAGGAGCGACGCGCTGCAGCATCCAGGAGATGGAAAGCGTGCCGTCAGTCTCCGACTGCCAGCCATGGCCCACTGGACTCGGTACTTCTGGCATCGCAGTGGTGGCGCTCCGCCAAATGTGGGCCTGGTAGTTAGCCCTGGCCACATGTTGATGGAGAGCGTCGCGTGAGGGCGGTAGTTTGTGCGGAGCACAGGATGTGGCCGCACAGAACTTTTGGTAGCGCTGGCTGTTGATGTCTTGCTGGCCAGGATTGCCATACAAGGCACACGCAAACCACTCACATTCAGAAAGCAGCTGGTCATCCGATGTAGCATTGACACCCAGTGTCGCCAGTGCCTCTGCCATTCGCGTGCTTGACAGGAGCAGCTTCAGCGGAGCAGTCTTTCCCTTCCCAGAAAAGGAACTGACACTGTCACACCCAGTAAGAGCATGCAGTCCAACAATTGCAGACGAAACCAGGGGGCCCAGCGTCTGTGACAGCTGGGTAAGGTCGATGAACCGCCTCCGTTGCTGCGTGCCAGTCTGGAATATGAGCCGACCGGGAATGCTGCTAGCGGAGCCAATGGCAATCACGGCTACATCCGTGTCTGGCGACCGAATGACAACATCTGGGAATCCTTGCTGCACAGCATCAGCGGCATGAAGGATCAGCCGGGTGTCTGCTTCCTCATGATTGCTGGTCAACCTGTGAACATGATCAAAATTGTAAAAAGAGCAAAATGATTTCCCGGGCATTCAGAGAACGATAACATGGCTCTGCCAGATTATGTGATTTTCATCACCGAATTCAATCCATCAGCAATATCCTACTTGTACTTGTGGGACCAATATGCAGCAAATGTTTTATACCACTTGCTTGACAATAGTCAAAGTCGCAATAAACATGACATTGTACTGTTTGTCTTTTATAATACTAACCTGGACACCTGGTGCCGTGAAAGTGTCGATTTCCCTTCTTCTTCTTGCAACACGTAGCACTGCTGTCCCACGGTTATGAATACACTGCGACTGACACCCAATGTTGCCTTGAGCTCCGGTGTAGAACTCCAATGGTCAGCGAAGAACTGGATTAGGCCGGCCTTATTCGCTCCGCTTGCCATGAACCGCTTCCACTGAGTAGGAATAGCCTGGTCTGGACGTTGTACTGCCACTCGCAGGGGCTCAGTTGAGGCCGTTCGCTTTGAGCGCTCGCACGACTTAATCGACGCAGTGTGGTATTGATCTGCTACGAAGTCAACTCGTGCTGGAGGTGTAGCTGGAAGGTAGGAGACTAGCTGCTTGAAGACTTGTTCGCTGAGCTGTCCGAATGTCGGTGGCGCAGATGTGTAGCTCTGCAGTAATGCCATCGCGTCGACCATAACAGCAGGACCACGCGGAACTGACTCCAGTGGGTCAACTTTCTTCTCAAGAGCAAGCAGCAGCTTACTCTTTGGAGTCTTCACAAGGGATCCGTCTGCGTTGGCCAGGGCCCATGGGACTGGTCCAAGCTCATGCTGGAAGAGTTCCTTCAAGTCGAATGACCTTGATTGAGCCATAACTAGTAGCCGGCCGAATAAGCTCCTATCTGCCACGATCGCTGTTGTCTTGGAAGACTTCTTTGCTGCAGATTTGGTTTCCGAGAACGTCTTCAGGTTCAGCCGTGATATCGGTGTGAAGAAATCAACTGCCTGTAGGAAGAAACAAGTCACGCATGCACACACACACAAATGGGTTGACAACTTAGAACGTAGTGCATGGATTACGGAGTACAGAACGGAATTATAACATCCCCTACAGCGTCACTTTTGATTTCAATGTGTTTGGTAACAAAGTATGTCACCAAAACATGCATCCTATCATATATCCACACGTCAAGACTTTTAACATGGTGTGCTGCAAAATCATAACCGTCTTACCTGACTCTCCAAGCGGTCTGCCACGAACTTGCTCATTGCACTCTTTCCCTGCGTGTGACTGGATAGGAGATCGGAGGTTGCTTGAGCAGAACAGACTTTCCCACTGGAGAGGCTGATCAAATCTTCACCAAGGAACGGATGGCTGAACTCTGCCAACCGCTTTTCGAGCTTCCCATAGTCGCTTTGATCCCGTTTCATTCTGCTGTCTGTGTTGTCCTTGTGTGGACGTGCTGTGCCATCATAGTCCTCCGCTTTGACGAGGTCGTTACATGCACTTGCAACAGCCGCTCGCTCGTGAGCTGTGAGCACCCAGCGGTGAACAGTTC